TCTCCGCGACAAAGGGCAGGACTTGGGTTTGTATCAGAACGGTCACGCACGACTGCACGAGTCAACAGAACTCGTATTATTATTATGAATGGGGGACTTACCTCCACCAGTGGCTCCTCCACTAACCTGACTTTGGTGATGAGTTGCTCCAGCCCGTCGAAGGAATCACGACACACGCGTTTTCTAATTCTGCGATCTAACAACCCGTATACTTATACAATGTCCACCTTTATTACCTCCGGTACTACGTACGGTAATTTTGATAACAAAGCGCGCACTTTACGAATAAATACGTCGGCCCGTTCACTATTTTGTTCAGTAGCGAATATATCTCGGAGTATTTTATAACCAGGTCGCGGCACTCCAAACATCCCTCGGAGTCGTTGTAGGGCGTCGGTCCACGTGATCGACGACTTCACTCCTTGTCACCAGACGGTGACAAGGAGTGAAACCACCAACAACATCGGCAGGCCGCGCAGCTCATGCTCGTCGCTGACGTTGGTGCAGTCACGGTAGACTTCGATGGTCTCGATAAATGCTTAGAGCTCATCCACGTTCCTCGATGATCCGTTAAATCACGCCGTAAACTTCGCGAAGTTTCCTGTGTGCGCCGCGTGCGTGTACGTGCGTCGGCGACTTCAGCGCGCGGCGGTGGCGGTGACGTAATCAACGGGTTTTTGTTTCCCGCCTAAATTCTTTGAATCAGAACTTTGTTTGCTCCCACTTGACTTCTAGTGATGTTGAATACCCTTGGGTATTTACATAACATACCTCCGACATTGCAATATTCGGAGACGAAACCACGGTTCTGTTTATCTCGACATCTGTGTCGGTAGGTATACGATCCGATCCCTCATCTCTTCCAGTTCTTCTCTTCGGCGGTATAATAACAGGCAATTCCAACTGTTACTCGCTCGAAGAGCACGGGTGATGTTTTTGAGGATGGTAGCTTCAACAAGTCGGTAGGTATATACCTACAGACGCAACCGGCGGTACGCGGAAAATGGACTCGCCCAAGTGTTTTCACTTTCGTATTTGCACTGGTTTTACAATATTTTTCGTGTGATTGCACTATCGGAGAGAGTTCACAATATGTGTTTGCACGATAGGAACACTAGAACTTGTTGTAACTTTTGAGTTTTTATGCACAGTTCGTTCGTGGCCGCAAGTTAGGCGTCACTTTAATAACTTGATATTGTCTTAGTGGGTTCTCAGGCATAGTATTTCTTTATACTAAGTCTCAGGGGCGTAAAAATGTAGTTCGACACATGAATGACTGTAAAACTGTATTTATTAGAGTAAACGTTAAACTATTACAAACAATAATAGAAAAAGTTGAGGGATAGTGAGGTGGCGTGTCATCACTAGAGTTGCGCGCGTGCGTCCGACACAAACCAAAATCGAATTGCCGCGTTACACAAGTGAAATATGATATTGTATAGATAATGTGCTTTCTCTACCCCTTCGGAATGACAAGGTGTGACGTCATTTAGCTTTTTTATTTAGAACAATAAAATATTATATCAAGCTTGCTGATGCCCGCGACTTCGTCCGTATACCATATGAGTCCTGTTTTATTCCTTGGGAGCATTTAATAGGAATAAAAAAACCCTAACTATATACCAAATTACATCAAAATCCGTTCAGTAGTTTCAGCGTGATTGACGGACAAACATCCAAACAAAGAAACTTTCACACTTTTATAATATTACTAGCTTCTGCCCGCGACTTCGTACGCGCAATCCCGTTTTCTCCCGTTCCCGTAGGATTTCAGGACGTTTTCTGTAATAAGAACCTTCTCCTGACAATAATAAACACAACAAAAATAAAATCAGCCAAATCAGTCTACCCGTTCTCAAGTTATGGCGTGACAACGGGAAACGGATTTCATTTTTACATAGAATATAGATCATAGATCATAGCTATAACAGTTTCGTTTTTTGTACCATTTTGTGCAAAACTTAACTCAAACTTTTTAGTACCAAATTACGTTTAGTAACCCCTAATGTTAGTCATTAATTTTCAATTTTCGCATGTTTTTGCCAATTTTCACGTGATTTTCCTTCCTTTATTATCAATTGACGATTTGCATGCAATAACAAATCTTGTTTTTTTGTTGTGAGATAAGTCGGTAAACGAGCAGACGGATCACCTGATGGTACACAAGAGTTTTTAAAGGGGTTACATCATCGAATGACTGTTCCCGCATGGGTTAGGCGGGAGGGAGTGTCAGACTCTTACTGACTAAAAACCACCCCGTTCCTTCTCCTGCACGTCGAGCCGGAGCCCCGGTAACCCGTTAGGTTCTCCGCGACGTTACCAGCCTATTCGGGACTCACTCACATGACGAAACACAACGCAATATTTTGTTTCACGTCGATTTTCTGTGACGCCGTGGAATCACTCTGTTCGAGCCGGCCCATTCGTGCCGAAGCGCGGCTCTCCTACACATAAACACTCCCACTAATCATAATAAAACATGTCTGTTGGTCTGTTTGATAGTTAGCTAATGAATATTAGAGACTAGAATCGTACCCAGCATAATTATAATTATGACAATGAGCAATCACCCTTTTCATAACTTTCATGAATCATAACATAACTGAATAATGTTGAACAACAATTTATGAATTCGTTTCGGGAATCTTACCCGCGACACATTTGTGCAGCAAATGGTCGCTGAATCACTGCGTCAACTACGCAAACAAAAATAAAACACTGGAATAAATGTTACTCTTTTGAAAAAAAACTATGTTCTGCAATGTCTCTGATACATATTCCAACACTGTACGAATATGCGAGAACAATCCAAAGACACGCTTGACGCATTATACTAATTACAAAACTTACAAAAATAAAACCCAAAAAAAAATCTTATAGTTTAACATGGTGCTCACATATGCATGCTGACAATCCATAAAAATAGTGCTTCTAACATATACAAGAAAAGGAAGCTCTAAGTTTCAATAAAAAAGAAATGCTCGATGCCATAAGGAAACTAGATTGTCTACATATTAGAATGAAAGTATTAAATTACATAGTATTAGAATATAACTACTGACTACATTTGAGTATTGTCCAGTGGCACCGGACCAACATTTTGCAACACAAGACTGCCTCGTTGGCCGAGTGGTCGCAATTGCGACTGCCGGGTAAGGGGTCTCGGGTTCGATTCCCGGGTCGGGCAAAGTATTACTGGGGTTTTAAAAGAATCTCATTAGTAGCACGGAGTTTGGAACTGTGCCCGGTATATGGCAATAGGCTCGCCCCCTATTACATGGGACTCATAACAACCTATTACATAAATAGTGAAAAGTGGGTGTTACATTGTACAGTGGCATAATGTGCACCTCTGCCTACCGGATAAAAGTCGTGATGTTATGTTATGTTATGGTAGATTTGATTTTTTTGTTTTTTAAAAAACGTTGCCTCACACTAGGAATTTACATAAATAGTGAAAAGTGGGTGTTACATTGTACAGTGGTATAATGTGCACCTCTGCCTACCCCTTCGAGGATAAAAGTCGTGATGTTATGTTATGTTATGGTAGATTTGTTTTCTTTTTGTTTTTTAAAAAACGTTGCCCCACACTAGGAATTTCTCGTGAGTTGTGGATGCGTTTACAAACATACAAGTTCACACACACATCACACCCAGACCTGGAACAACAATCTGTGGATCACACAAGGTGTTTTTCCGTGCGGAAATCGGACCTACGACACTTGGCGCGGCAACCAGTTGCCCGACCACCGCGCCAACCGTGCAGTCAAGTACCATTACCATTGCTTATCTCTTAACTCCCCAAACAAAATGAAATGTTTTTGAATGGAATATGAGTGTATTTTTTTTCGGCAGGTATATTATGTCTTTGGTGTATATTTTTTTTGTTATGGTATAAGCTGGTAATCGAGTAGACGGATCACCTAATTGTAAGCAATCGGCGCCACCCATGGTCATCCGAAATACTAATCGTTACAAGTGCGTCACCGGCCTTTTAGGGATTAGGAATTTGAGGATTGTCGGGGATTCAGAGGTTGTTAATTGAGCCTCCGTAACCACACTTATAATTAATCCTGTTGGAATATAATTATGTATTTATGTAGCTACTCAGCTCAGTAATTGAGCAACCTCTGATTCAACTATGAATAATTGTTAAGTTTTGCCGGTCTAATTAAAGACCTACGTGACACCTTATTGTTGTACGTGATGAAATGAAACTGATGGTGGCCACCATGTCTTACAAATCTTAGTGGAGTAAAAATTTCACACGCTCTAGTTTTTCTCCCAAAGGTAAAACACCACATTTTATTGGTTTGCTTACATGACAGAAAATAAAAAAAAATTAAGCCCATCGAAGGCACCGATCGAAGGTTGTTTGTCAGCCGACAAACCAATAAAAAATATCCAACGTTACAGAAACAAAATGAAAAAATAATTATTCAGAACTAATAATACCTATTTATTTAACAATAATATTTGTATTTCCCATAGGCATTTCCGCATAAATCGAAATTGTGGAGTAACGAAACGTGTTTCATTTGACAGCTTAGGTTACCTATGACGTTGACATTTACTTGCTAGTAGGAATTTGATTCGCTTTCCATTGGTCGAAAATTGTAATCAATGTGTATCTAGCCAATGAGAATCATTCTTCATTACGTGTTTTGTTAGCGACATTTTTTTTTCTTACTATCATGTGTCAAGGAGCAATGACAATTTGACTTGACATTCTTTCATTGAAAGTATATTGTATTGATCGTACCTCAAAATATTTTGGAAAATTCCTATCTAACATAGATTTATTATGAAAAGAACTTTTGTTATAAAATTACCGGTAAGTTACTATTAGCTTATAACCTAATGCATGTCTAAAAGTGCCCATATACAAGAAAAAGTAAAAAAAAAACACATCATCCATTTTTCGTGTGTCATAAAAACATCTATTGAAACGTACTATAATTGGGTTCCCGTTAATATTACAGTAACTACAGCGTCCAAAGATGTTGCCACGACAGTATTACAGCGAACAAGACATAAGAAAACGCCAAATCGACACGTTAAAGATATTCAACGATCATGTGACAGAAGTTAACGAAAACTCGGAATACAGAGTGGAATTCGTGGCTGACGGCAAAAACATGAGCTTGTTAGTGATATTAGGACCTGATTTTCCTAATGAGAAGCCTTCAATCTTCGTTAATCCGCCAATACCTCATCCTTGGATCGGAGAAAATTCGAATAAAGTTGTTGGTGCTCCTGGATTGGTAAATTACACTCTACATTCGGATTTGGGTCGTGTAGTCCAAGCGATTATAAGGGAGTTTCAGAAATCAATGCCAAAGTTTTCCAATTCTGATGATGTGTCCAGAAGTAATGATGTAAGTCCGCAGTCAAATTATAGCGGTCAGTCGTTGATGTTTCCGGAGTTAAATGATTTTTGTATTGAGGAGTTGCAGGAGATATTGCAGAACACTGATTTACAGGTATGTTTGGCTAAATATTGTTTAATTTATTAAATACTAGCTTTTACCCGCGGCTTCGCTCGCGTCACAAAAGGATAAAAAGCCAATGTGACATATACCAATACATACAGCGCCATCTATACCAATACTTTTGTTTTCCCTCGGGAATATCAAATTTTTCCGGGATAAAAAGTACCCTATTGTTTAATCCAGACTACTAACTTTACGTCTGCAAAAATTCAATGCAATCGGTTTAGTAGTTACGGCGTGAAGTCGGAACAAACAAACAAACAAACAAACTCACTTTCCGATTTATAATTTATTAAATTAAATTATTAAATTAAATATTAAATATTAAATATTTTATCAGTTTCTTAAATTTAGAGTTTAGATTATTGTCCTGAAGTCCTTTATACAATGCCTAACACCTACTCAGTTTGTGGTTTGAGAATAATGAACTTAACTTTATACATACAAAGATAAGACTAGACTAGAAATTTGATCAATTCAAAACAATTTTTATGTTTTGAATTGATCCAATTTTAATTTTTAAAGTCATTTATTTCAATTAGACAAGAAAGGTATATTTAAAGTAATTTAAACTGTCAAACACCAAGCGGTCACCGGTGACCGCGACCTATTGTTCTTTAATTGTGTCTATAAAACCGGTACTCGACGGGTTAAACATCTACAAAAAATTAAGTGATGCTTTTTGCTGTAGGATTTACCAGTTTACAAACAAAACAGAGAAATAATAATTAGTGCCATCTGTAAGAAATCAACATATATATATATATATATACAACCAAATTATTTATAGAGAAATGCTGACGGAAAGTTTTTTTTTACAATTGTGTAGTTATTAAATGGTTTTATAATAGTTTCTGTTTTCGTATTATTCATGAAATATCAGCTTTGAGCAGCAACAGCAACTATTATTACATAAAACAAACATTTAATTCATTACTTTTATAAAAATGAAATATGTTTTTTACCATCACTTGTTGCCGGTTTTCGGAAGCATTTCATTTACACCCTGTATAATTTGTAACTTTTATAAAAAAAACTGTTAACTTATATTATTATGTTCCAGGATAAAATAATAGAAGTAAACCCCCAACTAGTAGAAATAGACCTTGAGACAGAAGAATTAATGACCAGTATCGAACGGATAGCCCAAGAGAATATTTCTAAGCAACAGGCGCTCGACGATTTAAAGACTGAAGTGATCGACCGTATATCAACTATCGTTCAAATGAAAATGAACTTTGAAGAACTGAATAGAAAGCATATGAAGCTAGCGGAGATGTATGATCCTCATCGGATTAGGGATTGCTTGAAGGAGGCTGCGTTGAAGGCTGACGAAGAATCAGAAGTTATTGCAGAGCAATTTCTGACAGGTGCGTAGATACTAGTTGTCTCATGTCAAAGTCAAGTTAAATTCATTTAATTTCAATTAGACCAGGATGGTACTTTCGAACTTTAACAAAAAAATAAAGCAAAAATGAAGCTATTAGCTCATTCCAAGGTGTAGATTCCTATGGAGAAGAATAAGCAAGAAACTCTATAGGTTATAGAATAGAAATCTATATCAGGCTCTGAGCTCATAAATGGTTAGTAACAATTTACTTATACAACTAGTGTTAATAACACAAAGATCATCAATTACAATTATTATACAATCAGATTTAAATTAAAAAAACAAATGATAAATGTCATTGAAAATAAAAATGTATGTAAAATTGAAATTGAATTAAACTAAAATTACTGGGGTTTTTAAAAATTCTCAGTAGTAGCACGGAGTCTGGAATTGTGCCCGGTATATGGCAATAGGCTCACCCCCTATTACATGGGACTCATAACATAAATAGTGAAAAGTGGGTGTTACATTGTACAGTGGCATAATGTGCACCTCTGCCTACCCCTTCGGGGATAAAAGGCGTGATGTTATGTTATGTGAATTAAACTAAAATAAAATATTCTTTTTCAATCAGGTTCACAATACAATTTATTCTCTAGCTACATAGTTTTATTGGTTTGATTGTGCGAGAACCTAGTGATTAGTGAATAGTGCCATCTGTTATTGGTCACACAAACTACTTTAATATTAGTTTAGACTTGTAGGGTACGTTTTTAATACGTCCATAAGAACAGCTGTAGATGAGCTGTGGCTAATTAGGTCTTATTCCCAGTTCTTTTATATTATTTTACACTTCTTGTCTACAATATTTATTAATAATAATTATTATTTTTGACTACAATGTATGTAATTAAAATTTGCTCCCATTTTATATCTCAAATTAACAGGGACTCTGAAACAAACTGATAAACAATTGAACATTTCATTTGGAAAAGAATTCAAAGAGGTAAAATTCATAATCAATAAGTGATTTTCCTTTAAATTTTCAGGTCAAATGCCAGTTGAGACTTTCATAGCGAAATTCGCAGAGAAACGGGGTCTTGGTCAAGCAAGACGCGCTCGGGAAGAAAGGATCGCTCACCAACTGGCACAACTAGACAGAGCCACGACCAAAAGCTAGAGAAAAAAAAACACATTCCATTTGACAGCTGTCAAAATTCCCGCCAATATTTATCAAATATGGCGTCGTTTGTATCGTGCTTTCTTGTTGAATTTTGTGTTCGCGTATTTATTAATGAGTAGGTTTAGATGCTAGCACATTAAGGTGCCAGTCGCATTCATTTGGCCTGTGAAGCTGCAGTCTTCTACCGGCCAATCTGGAAGGTATTGGGCGAAGCGTATTTGAGGCGTATTTATGTTGTTATTTTTAAAACGAATCAAAAAATTTGTTACTTATTTCCTAATACTTAAATTAATTTTAATAATACTGTAAAGAAAGACATTGTTAATGTACATGATTCATTTTAAACTTTTATAACAGTTAAAATAAAGTTTAAGAGAAGACTTGTAGCTTGATATGCTAGCGTCTACATAATGTTGTTGATGTGTGGAATAGTGCAATCTGAATAATTATTGTATAAAAAACACCACTAAATTAGGCAAAAACACGTGGCATGTTTTGTACTGCTACTTGCATTTATTTAGTTTTTCAATCATACCACATCGGAGTGATACCACGGCTTCACAGAAAACCAACATGAAGCTACGCGTGCATTGTGTGAGTGAGGTTACCGGAGGCCCAATTACTCTTCCCCCTCCCCTAATCTCCCCTGAATCTCCAACGATCTTCAAACTCCTAATCCGCAAAAGGCCGGTATCGCACTTGTAACGACTCTGGTGTTCCAGGTGCCCATGGGCGACGCCGATTGCTTACCATCAGGTGATCCGTCTGCTCTTTTACCGGCTTATGAGATAAAAAACAAAAAACATCATTATTAATTTATGTTTTCATGTTTTTACGAGTGCAGATCATCAATCCCGCCTGCAATGTGTGGTGCAAGAGGGAGTGTCAAACTCTTATTGACTAAATACCTCACTGTTCCGACTACATAATATTATTAAATTGTGAGCTAAGTGCCCTAATATTGTCGTAAATATATCTTACGATAAATCCACAACTTTTGTTCATACAAAAGTAGTCTGTAAACATTGGAAATAAGATCTATAATTGAGTTAGTGGAGAGCTGGCAACGATGACCGCTTGGAAATTAATCAGTGGGATGTACTGTACCTAACGATGGTATTTTGTCGTAATTCATATCGGTATTAGCCCAGTACTATTGTTGATTTTTTTAATATAATATTCGCGTGTATGTGTGGTAACAATAATTACCGTTTTAAAAATGTATTTAAGCAACTATTTATAACTCCAAATGTTTTACACAATATTTAAATTTGTGATAAATGTGATTATTATTATTAAAGTGATTGTCTTTGATTATGGTTTTTGATTTTAACGCCATCTATCCGTGGATAGTTGTAAAAAATAGCAATATTTTTTTTTAGACCAGAGTTGGATCAACTTTTAACCAGTTTTTTTATAGGATAAGCCGATAGACGTGCAAACGGATCACCTGATGTTAAGCAATCGGCGGCGCCCATGGACACCTGGAACACCAGAGGCGTTACAAGTGCGTCATCGGCTTTTTGGGGATTAGGAGTTTGAGGATCGTTGGGGATTCACGGATTGGGGAAGGGGAAGGTAATTGGGCCTCTGGTAACCTCAATCACACGACGAAACACAACGCAAGCGTTGCTTCACGTCGGATTTCTGCTCGGCCGTGGTATCACTCCGGTCGAGCCGGCACATTCGTGCCGAAGCATGGCTCTCCCACACTTTTCCCCCCCATGTTTCCGTGGGCTTACCCTATGTGTTATTCCAGACCATAATCTATCCATAATCCAAATTTCATCCTGATCCCTTCAGCCATTTTGAAGTGATTGAGGAACAAACATACACACAAAGTAGGTAACATCTATAATATTAGTAAGATGTTATCGAATTTCGTATTATTACACAGAATTACAAGATGTAATCCCCTGCTAAAATATCTTTACTTTATTCGACCGGGTATTTGAACCCACGACCTTCCCCTATACTTATTATACCACGACCGCATGCTTACCGCCCGAGGTCACGTAAGAACAACGTGTCAATCTGAAATTGACCCAACCAATATCTTTCAGATCATTGTCTATTCAAAAACCACACTTAAGCAACTGCATTAAGATTTATTTTCTCTTGTAGATAAAACTTTCAGCGACCTTGGTCAATGTAATGAGAACAATAGGGTCAATGACCGGTGTTCTCTGATATTTCTTAAATATCGTTTGGTGATAGCTTCGTGACTTATAAATAGATAAAAATAAACATTTATAGGCAGATACTTCAATACATAATATTTCGCTCGTTATGCCCCGAAATGGTTAAAGTGTAGGTACATAACCTTTATCCCCGAAGGGTGAGAGAGAGAGAGAGAGGTGCACATTAAGAGACATAATGCCGCTGTACAATGTAACACGCACTTTTCACTATTTATGTTATGAGTCCCATATAATAAGGGGTGATTATCGCGATATACCGGGCACAATTCAAGACTCCGTGCTACTACTGAGCATTTTTTTAAAAACCCAGTAATACTTTGCCCGACCAGGGAATAGAACCCGAGACCCCTTACGTCAGTCGTATTTGCGACCACTCGGCCAACGAGGCAGTCATGGTTTTATTATTATTTTTTTTAAGGGGGGAAAATCATCGAATGACTGCTCCCGCCTGGGTGTCAGACTCTTACTGACTAAAAACGACCCCGTTCCTTCTCCTGCACGTCGAGCCGGAGCCCCGGTTACCTGTTAGGTTCTCCGCGACTCCGAATCGGCAACAGCCCTATTGGGCCCCATCTGTGGTGGTCTGATGGCTCTTTGAGGCGCGCGCGGAACGCGACGCTTCCATGTCCGGTGAGGACCTGCGTCAGGCGGTAGGTGAGGACGCCATAGCGTCTCTCAAGCCACTCCTCAAAGAGGGAACTTACCGCTGCAATGGCAGCGAGCCCAAGGCACTCATGGTTAAAGTGTCTATAATTCAATTCGAGTTTTGGAAAGTTCAATACCTGCTTGCCTAATAGGTTCACGAAAGTTTAAACATTACACCGTTCGGCGTCCTGATCGGCTTGCTCTCCAATGAACCAACCAATTAGGGTACTTATGTAATACTTCTACTAACTATAATAATATTTTTATTTAAAAAATATGGTGGTAAATCATCGAATGACTTCTCCTGCCTTAGGTGAAGCGCGAGGGAGTGTCAGATGCTCACTGACTAAAAACTACCCCGTTCCCGTATCGGCATCAGCCCCATTGGGCACCACCCGTGGTGGTCTGATGGCTCTTTGATGCGCACGCGGAACGCAACGCGCCGTACGCTTCCAGCGGAACCCAGTAATACTTTGCTCGACCCGGGAATCGAACCCGAGACCCGTTGCTTGGCAGTCGCACTACCGACTTACTACTACTTACACGGCCAACGAGGCTGCAAAAAGAATTTCTGTCATATTTCAAATTGAATTAAACCATTTTCGTAATAGTGTACAAACAACGCGTGGGTTTCCAACATTACCTACTTACTTGTAGCTAGCTTGCCGCCTGCGGCTTCACTCGCGTGGAATTTAAATATTTATTCTTTCAAATGAGCCCCGTTTCTATAGTAATGCCGGGGCAAAAAGTTGTCTTTAACACTAGAAAGACGGAAAAAATCATCTACCTACAAAGACGGCGAGCGGTCAAATGACTGCTCCAAGTTTTTTGATATTTTTTTTATGTTTAAGTGCTAGAAATGGTACCTATAGTATTAAACACGGTATAACATACTTTAAATTAAGGAATATGTATAGAATTTCTAATTTTATCATTTTGTTTACATTACAAAAGCCGCAAAGTGGCTTTTTGCAATTGTCGCATTCTTTATGGGTTTTGTATTTGCATTTGTGTATATAATATTTTGGAATTTACTGGATTTTGTGCAGAAGATTGAGAAGTAAAAGATCTAGACTTTTCAGGCAAGGATTCAGTTTCAGAGAGTATTCTTCAATTTATACTTTGCTTCTAAGTTCGCCCCCTGAACTTAGCATAAATACCCTTTGTTTCATGTAATATTCTACATTTTCCTATACCAAATGAAGGAATTATATCTAAAAAGGAAAATTATCTAATTATGTTATATCTTTGCTAGGTCTCATATATGAAAAAAAAAATCTATTTCACCTTTGAGATGCTCGTAACATTTTGACCAGTATTTGCAAAAAGTTTCACAACACGCATCTGTATCAACGGATTCATTGACATTTGACCACATAAAGTAGATGCCATTTGAGGTGTGTACAAGATACAGTCGATAGTTGTGAAAAGACCTTGATGCTCAGAATCTTCCAAACTCCTATCACAGCCTTTATCACTACCACAGCAACGACTACAACCACGAGAACTCGACCTGTCAACGTCTGATAAATTTGCTCGAAGTATCTGGTCTTTCAGGTCACTTCCGTCCGTAGAGGAATTCGAACTGACAAGTAGTACCACATAATCGTCGTCGCTATCACGTTTTGTATTTTAGAGTCAAAATCAGACTCATCTTCATAAATAATTTGGAAGTAACAAACGTTTTTTCATTTTCAAGACTCCAACACGTTGCGACCACAAACTACTTTCAATAATTTCGTAAAAGTTCACAGACACTTGAAATGATACGGTCTCATTTGATAAAGAAACTATAAACAATGAATTAGTGTATATAATTTGTATTCTACCCTCTCATATTACACTCATAAACACTCATTAGTTGTCAGCAGTCAAATGACTGCCGCCGTCTTTGTCGGTAGATCAAGATTTTAAATAATAAATAAAAGAGTTGTGATTTATTTTCATACATAGTTGCATTTAACTAGTAAAATAAATAAAAGTCACAAAGTATCAGTTTAAAAACTCAAATAGATTTCAAGTCATTCAACATTTAAAATCAAATCGCGGTCAAATGACTGCTCCCGTCTTTCTAGTGTTAAAGGGAATATGAAAAAATTCTTTAATGTATCTGTGTTTGTTACAGATCTGAGCATTACATCAGTGAAGGAGGAGAACCGAGCATTACAATGCGTACCAGGTAATGTATATTGTAATATCTTGATACGTCAATGTCTGACACCTTGCTATGAAATGCTCAAAGTCGTATCTATAATATTATATTACACGTGAATGCTCCCGGTGAGGAAGCACCTTTATACCTATTGAAAAGATATAGTGAATGGATTTTTTCAATTCGGTGTACTAATTTCAGAGGTTATTTAATCTAAACAATCAAATATTTCCTCTTATTTATTTACGGGCGTTCGCGCGGGGCATCGCTTGCGTGCTTTAGGAACACAGTAGCCTATAGAACTCTCCAGCCTCCAAAGGGTGCATCTACATCTTTTTTTTATATATATGACTAGCGGACCAACAGACGTTGTCCTGCATATCCACTTGAATGTATAAACAAAAATTCATTCAAATTAGTTCAGCTGTTTAGAATAAATAACCTAAACATCGACTGCAGCGCCATCTGCCGGGCTGATTTGTGAATCTAAACCATTCACAGATCCCCCTGAACACACACAAAAAAATTTCATCAAAATCAGTCAGAAGTTCAGTGACATACACACTCACAGAAGAATTATATACCTCTATATAAAGATAGGCCGACGTTTGACCACTGTCTCGTCTGGTGGTAAGCGATGATGCAGTGTACGATGGAGCACGTTGCCCCATAAGCAAACTATTTACTCGGGCCTTGAAGACACCTAGGTTATCCTTCAGAAAATACAGACTCTGGCAAAGAATTCCACTCCCTAGCAGTACGCATAAGGACGATGATGTGAAACGCTTCGTGCGTGTGAGTGGGACATCTACCATGAATCGGTGACGCTTCAAGTAAATCTGGTGAATTAGCTGCAAATGTACAACTCGTGAGCCGTTTGTGAACTGCGCGCGTACAGTTCAATTCAAGCAGTGGTTTGGTGCGCCTCTTTAGTGCAACTCATGCGAGGCTCGTAAAGGTAAATAATAATTTTAAATGCACGCACGCAGCTCACAAACGGCTCGCGAGCGACGAGCTGTACATTCGCAAACATTTGCCAAATGTGAACGCACCCTAACACCGGAACCATTATCTAAAATCTTCTCTCACACAAAAAATAAACGTCACAAACAAACCTACACAAACAAACACGTTGTCCCATTTAACCGCTGTAAGGATTTGCAAAACAACCATAAAATCAGCAATGTCTGATTCAATATTGACCAATAACTCGTTTGTCTAAATGTTTATACTCCAAGTGATGCAATGCAATGCTTGAATCGAAATTGACAATATCACACAGTAATGTACTGTCGACTACAAACAAAACAATAAACATTGATTCTCATTAGTAGCGCCATCTAGTTTTTGAAACTTGTAAAATTTTATTCAGTTAAATAAAAAATACCAACGAAGAATAACTTAATTATGTATGTAATTTTTTGATACCAAGTCATGTTATGTATATGTATTTATTTAATTTTATGACGTGTTTTACCCACTTATATTTTTATAAGGTATTTTTTATCTAAGTACTTACCTATTTATTGCTTTTTACGTAACAATAAACATGTTGGATTTCCTTATTTATATTTATATGTTTTTAATTTTTTTTCTACAATATGGCAAATTTCAAAGCGCATTTAATATTTATTTACGGGATTGTGGGCAAACCAGCTAGGCTATTATGTAAGATGTCAATTGAAACTCTCGAAGTGAGCTCGATCGCATTCTCGCCAGCCATTGGTCGAGAGTATTCTCACATCTCACAACCAATGACATGACGGACCGCAATCGCACCTTAAAAAATAGCCAGCAGCAGTTAGATCATCTGATGACCACCACCATCATCATCATCATCAACAGCCTATGAATGCCGACTGCTGTGCAAATCATTTTCTCACATGGCGATGTTTGAGCATTAATCACTACGCTTGCTCAATGCGGGTTACAAACTTATAACTGGAAATTATAAGCCCAGGTTTCCACAAGATGATTTGGTGGTGTCTAGATATTCTTAGAGAGTACATATAATTCTGAAAAAGTTACATTGGTACTTTCCGTTGGAAGGTTTCGAACACGCACCCTTATGCATAAGAAGCAGGCGTCTTAAACCTCTGGGCCACCATGACTCATGATAATCGATCAGCGCCAATTGGACTCCTGATATATTAGAGGAGTTACAATTTCGTTGCTGGAAGTTGGGAGGTTGAAAGAAAGAAAGATAACATATTTTATTCGGCACATTACATGCACAGAGTTGTAGACAGTATTTTTTAAATGTGAGAGAGCTATGCTTCGGCACGAATGGTCCGGCTCGACTGGAGTGATACCACGGCCTCACAGAAAACCCGACGTGAAGCAGTGCTTGCGTTGTTTCGTCATGCGAGTGAGGTTACCGGAGGCCCAATTATCCCCCTCCCCAGTCTCCCCAATCCTCGAATCCTTGACAACCCTCAAATTCTCAATTCCCAAAAGGTAACGCACTTGTAACGCCTTGGTGTTTCAAGTGTACATGGGCGGCGCCGGTTGCTTATCATCAGGTGATCCGTCTGCTCGTTTACCAGCTTATACCATAAAAAAATACAAACATGAAAAAAAATTACTGGTTGGATCTCAGGTATTCTCATTCACATTGAAACACATCGCTTTGGTTGTTTCACGCTGGTTTTCTGTGAGGCCGTGTTATCACTTAACCTTGTCGGGATGGCCCGTTCGTGCCAAAGCCTAGCTCTTGCACGTAAAAAAGTTATGGGCATTTTATTATTTACATCAAATACATTAGGTATTTTATTTTTGTATAACAACTAAACTATACTATTAACTAGTTGGTAGTAAAATTAAAATGTAACCATTTACGTAAGTGATAGAATTATACTTATTTGTTAACTATCTTTTGCCCGCGTATTCCTGTTTTATTCCATGGGAGCATTTCATCGAGACAAAAAGTTTAAATATATATCCTATCACCTAAGTCAGTCCATACCCTGCCTGTATACCAAATTTCATCATAATTTGTTCAGCGTGATTGACGGACAAACATCCAAAGAAACTTTCACATCTATACTTATAATAAATCTGTAGAGAGGTAAATTCTGTACATAAAATATATTTCTAGAATAACTATCAGGGGGTGATAAGTACATACTAATGCCAAAAATGCAATCAGTAAGATTTTTGTCTGTTGTCTGTCTGTATGTTCCCTTTAGAAACAAAAGTTACTTGACAGATGTTTACGAAACTTGGTACAATTATTCTCATACTCCTAGGGAGGTCTACTTTCCATTACGCTATAATCAAAGAGGACTAGAGCACTGAAGGAAATGTTGGGAAAATGGGAGAAGTTAATCCATTTTTTAATCTTTACCTTCTGTCGCGTGTGCAGCCTTAATCGTTAAAGCAAAACAGAAACGACGAAAATGTTCTACTTACATAAAATTATCTAAAAAAATATCCAAAACAGCATATTATGTCTATCTTTATGGTTGATTCACAATAACACGTGTAACTCCCGATAGCTTAGCAGTTACCGTTTGGAGCTTTCTGCTTATATTTGTTTACTCTTATGTTTATAATACTCTCACTCATGTACTAAAAAAAGTTAACATTATTATCTATTCAATAAAAAACGAATCTTAGAAATTGGTATAGAAACACAACTGAATCATGAAATACGCTTATAAGCCATCGCGCCTATTGCGCATGAATACTGAATCATGCTATAAGCCTATAAGGATTATTTTTGTGTAACGGTGTGGATATGTTTGTTACTCAGTCATATTAAAACGATGAAGGGACCAGAATGAAATTCGGTATAGAGATAGATTATGGTCTGGTCTGAAGTAATACATAGGTATTTTGTCCCTGGATCGCGGGCGAAGCTAATTTATAATATTGGTATGGTTCTATAGGTATTACCTACGCGTCACGACCTTTGACATAGGTAAATGAGCTGTTAGGCTGCTATGTTCATGCGATAATACTAAAGTATGTTATTGGCTGTGTAATAATAAATACTTTTACTGTTCGTACCTAACATTGCGTGATTTCAACATTTACGCTCATTAAGTAATTACACAAATAAGACTTGTACGAAAGGTCATTATCGTCATCGGCTTAATGAGTGAAATCTTGACCACAATTTTTAAACTGGGCAGCTTTGTTAGTCTGTTGTGCTAAAATTTTCACATAAAAATGCAGTTTAAACTGTCAAACACCAAGCGGTCACCGGTGACCGCGACCTATTGTTCTTTAATTGTGTCTATAAAACCGGTACTCGACGAGTTAATCCGGATAAACGAAAAGACAGATGCGGGCAAGGATCTTCTTCATAAAAGAACGGAGTGTATAATTTCGGTAAAATTTTGTCGTCACTTATAGCTTGCTAGACATTTAAATAGCAGAACATCTTTATTTGTTTTCATTCCTTTTAACTCTTTGCACTATTTTTCAAACAAATTACAAATTTTGATAAGAAATAAATATCATTATAGAATAACTGATTGCAATTACTGATTAGCAGCCGAGTCATTATACTCCGGTGTTATTAAATCCACTATCCAGCTTTGTTTTATCATTTTTGTAGCATGATGAAACAGCTTATCGTAACAACCGACAAATCAAACCAGTTTCACTCCGCTCACAGCCGCGGAGAGTATACAGTGTAGCTCATTTATACTTTAAACTCAATCGTGTACAACATTTGTGATTAAAAATTAAATACGTAAAACAAAGCATAAAGTGCATCGTAAAACACAAAAAGATGGCGGCGGGATTTATTGTTTTTATGTGCATTGTTGTCGCGAGCAAAGGCATTGATATAAACAGCCTAAAGCTAGAACAGGTTGTTATGTTAGGGCGTCACAATGTGCGCACGCCTTTAACTGAAGGCTTGGAGATGTACTCGTCGAAACCATGGCCGAAATGGAACAGCACAGCTGGAGTATTGACTGAAAAAGGACTACGTTTTGAAGGATATATAGCTGATTATATTTCTCAGTGGCTTGACAGTGAAGATTTTTTCGAAGGATGCCCGCGAAAAGATGACGTGCTAATCTACGCGAACACGAAATCCAGGACTTTGGAATCAGCGAGGGCGTTCGCTGAATCAGCGTTTTATAATTGTAATATCAGTGTGCAACATTACGCAAATTTAAGCCAGTTTGACCCACTCTTCCTACCAATATTTCACAATAAAACGGAAGCGTTTAAGCAGCAGATAGCAGAAGAAATGAAGAGACATCTATCAGAAATGAATCTGACTGAGTCCTACGCCGAACTGGGGAGGATATTAAACATCCAGGAAGCAGATATATGTAAAAAACTGTTCTTATGTGATCTGAATAGTCAACAGACTGAAATAGTCCTCGAAGAAGGTGAAGAACCTAATGTGAATGGACCACTATACATAGCGAATGCTGTGGTGGACGCGTTCATCATGAGCTATTATGAAGGAAGACCAATGACCGAAGTAGCATGGGGCCAGATCGAGACAGATCAACAATGGGACTTACTAGCAAAAATCATCACTGAAAATCAGAACATAAGGTTTAAATTAGAAAGCGGCGCAAAAGACATAGCAAGTCCACTCCTAAGGTATATGTTTAATATCTTCAACGAAGGAAAGCCAAAATTCGCTCTCTTCGTAGGACACGATTCCAATTTGAATTCTGTGTTGACTGCGTTAGAATTTAAGCCGTTTGAAAGGAAACTTCAATTTGAACCTTACCCAATTGGTGGGAAGATTGTTTTTCAAAAGTATAGCGATAAGATGGGCCAGTATTTGAAGGTCGAATACATATATCCTTCTACTAAACAGTTGAGGGGTGGTGACGAACTATCGTCAAATAATGCACCGCAGCGAATTTTATTGGAATTAAAAGGGTGTCCTACATCACCTACTGGATACTGTCCATGGAGTGAGTTTTTGAAATTAAACGAAATATTAGATTAACAAAATTAGTGTCTTTTTATTTTTTGACTAGCGACCCGCCCCGGCTTCACACGGGTGTAATTAGAAACCTCTAAATTTATTAGTGTTTCTCTACTATATTATGCATGTATTATACATATAAACCTTACTGAAGAATCTCTCTTTTAACTCGTCGAGTACCGTATTTATAGACACAATTAAAGAACAATAGGTTGCGGTCACCGGTGACCGCTTGTTGTTTGACAGTTTAAAAAACCGCATCAAAATCCGTTTGCGTTGTTTTAAGATCTAAGCATATTACATAGGGACAGACAGACAGCGGATAGCGACTTTGTTTTATACTATGTAGTGATAGTGATAGCAACAAAACTTACGGCCCTTCTAGTGGTAAGCGGACACCGTAGCCTTTTTTTAAGGGGGGGAAATTCATCGAATTACTGCTCCCGTCATTAATGTCAGACTCTTACTGACTAAAAACCACCCCGTTTTTTCTCCTGCACGTCGAGCCGGAGCCCCGGTAACCCGTTAGGTTCTCTGTTAACACTTGCAACAACATCAGAGGTATAACAAGTGCGTTGTGTGTGAATCATATAAAATACTATTGAATAGCACCACGAAGGCAAGAGGTGCAAGAATAGATTTGATGTCATTCTAGGTATTAGGTATAGAAAGGCTATTATTATTATTTCGCTGGGCTAGAGGTATCGACCACTGGTACAAGTGTGACGGTGGATTGAAGGGTCCCGGGTTCGATTTAAAGTTTGTACTTATTTTTATGATTTAAAGTTTTGATTTTCCTGCTGACTGACTACCTCGTTGGCTGAGTTGTCGCAACTGCGACTGTCGGGCAGGGAGTCTTAGGTTCGATTCCCGGGTCGGGCAAAGTATTACTGGGTGTTTAAAAACACATCTCAGTTTTTTTTATTTATAAGCCGGTAAACGAGCAGACGGATCGCCTGATGGTAAGCAATCGGCGCCGCCCATGGACACCCAAAACACCAAGGCGTTACAAGTGCGTTACCGGTCTTTTAGGAATTGGTAATTTGAGGATTGTGGACGATTCGGGGATTCGGGAGACTAGGGAGGCGGTAATTGGGCCTCCGGTAACCTCACTCGCAGGACGAAACACAACACAAGCGTTGTTTTACGTCGGTTTTCTCCGATTTGTGCCCGAGGGGGCAGGCAGAGGTGCAAATTACGGCACTTAATGCCATTGTACAATGTAACACCCACTTTTCCCTTATTTTGTTACGAGTCCAATGTAATAGGGGGTGACCCAAATTGCCTAATGCCGGGCATAATCCCAGACTCCATGCTACTACTGAAATTTAAAAAAAAACCATTAGTTCTTTGCCTGACTCAGAAATTGAACCCAAGACCCCTTGCCTGGCATTCGCACTTGCGACATGGAATTCTTCAAACATCCTAAAAAGCTTTAGACATATTTTTTATTGGTTAGTGTGACAAACGAGTAGAAGATATCACACAGCGAAACACCGCAAGCGCTGTTTCATACTGGGTTTCCTTTGAGGCCGTGGTATCACTCCGGTTGGTCGAACCAATTCATTCGTACCAACGTGAAAAGCATGGCTCTTCCACGTGATTTAGGTCCCTAATTATGACTTTGTATCTCTTAAAATAGTGCTTCTATTTTTTTATATTTGATGGGTCGACGTTTGACCCCTATCTCGCCTCACTATTATTTATGATGCTGCCAATGCCATCACTTATAATTGTAACTCGTGCATTTTATAATTAAGATAAACTATTGACCCGAAAGATTAGATTCTTGTTAAATACAAAAATAAACTTAGACCTTGATTTGAACTGTGAATGTTAAAAAGTTTGCCTTATAATTATGTATGTAATTAGAAGTCCTCTACATTGATTTGATTATTGCGGTCAATATTTACTAGACTAGCTACTGTGTAGATGTCATAGTAGACAAGTATGAGCATACACTTACACTCATTGTTCACTTACTCTCATGATGTGATGAGATGGTCATCTTATTGGAGAGAGCTCAGCTGGTTATTATTGTTATTATTTTATGAAATAGGAGGCAAACGAGAAAACGGATCACTCTGATGGCAACACCAGAGGAGTAACAGGTGCGTGGCCGGCCTTTAAAAAGGAATACGCTCGTTTCTTGAAGGTTTGAAGGTCTGTAAGATTAAATTTGAAAGATCGACGTGAAGTCAGTCGCAGTTCGCAGTCCGCCATGTCATTAATTGTCTCGATCGAGCGCGATCGAGTTCACTTCGAAAGTTCGAATCGACAGTTACACTATAGTGTAGCAGGTACAGAATGTATCAGAGTAGGTGTTTATTCTTTTTTTCAGTCACTTCAGTCTTATTAGAGCTCATCATCAACTCATTTCATGCGCAACACATTACCACTCCAGGCCAGGCCAGGACCCCTCCCGAAACCAGTGGGACTCGCGTTCCTAAGGTACTTGATGAGCGACGACCTCTCCGCCGACACGCGACGGCGCGGCGTGTAGGTGGTGGTGATGTGGGCGGGGAGAAGTACTCGTCACTCGAACTCGCTAGTGGCCTTTAGTGGCACCACTGCATCTGGGATTGGTGTCGACAGTGGCGGGTCGAAGCTGGGTGATTAGGTCGGTGATAGTAGGCCTGCCTGTGCCCGTAAAATATCATATGACATAGATCACGCAGCAGCGCTGTTTGATAAACCTGCTTCTTAAAACTGCGATTTTGAACTGCGATTATGACATAACATGACGTGATATGACATCACGCCTTTCATTGCGAAGAGGTAGGAAGAGGTGCACATTACGGCACTTAATGCCACTGTACAATGTAACAACCACTTTTCACTACTTATGTTACGAGTCCTATGTAATAGGGGGTGAGCCTATTGCTAATTGCCACATTCTGGGCACGTTTCCAGATTTCGAACTACTACTGAGATTTTTTTAAAACCCAGTAGTACTTTATTCGACCCGGGAATCGAACTCGAGACCCCTTGTCCGGCAGTAACACTTGCGACCCCTCGGCCAACGATGCAGTCTGTGATTTGATTATGCTTAATAAAAAATAAAAATTCATACATATATAAGACAAATGATTACATAGTACCTAACTACTTTTTTAAGGGGGGAAAATCATCCAATGACTGCTCCCCGCCCAGGTGAGGCGGGAGGTAGTGTCAGACTGTTACTGACTAAAAACCACCCCGTTCCTTCTCCTGCACGTCGAGCCGGAGCCCCGGTAACCCGTTAGGTTCTCCGTGACACCTAACTACTTAGTTTCGAAATGCAGGTACAATATTAAATAGGTTATACCTAATTTGGCATTTCATAACTTATACTTACTTAAAATGTTAAACGCACTAAAACTATTATTCAGTTAGACTGCACGGTTGGCGCGGTGGCTAGCAACTGAGGGTCGTGTCGCGGGTTCGATTCCCGTCTGGAACCACTCTTTGTGTGATCCACAGATTGTTGTTCCGGGTCTGGGTGTCATGTGTATGTGAACTTGTATGTTTGTATTTGTAAACGCACCCATGACACGGGCAAAAATCCTAGTGTGGGGCAAGGGTTTTTAAAAAATAAAAAAAAAATTATACATGCATGTCAATCTAAATAGACAGAGAAACCACCAAAGGCTCTGATTCCCAAGTACAAAACTACCCTGTCTCTTTTTTCATTCTTTGTAAGGATTGAAATTCATCAAATGGAGTGAGGCCAAAGGGAGTGTCTAACTTTTACTGAATAAAAACTTCACAGTTCCATACCAGAAAATTAAATGGTTGTTACTTGTTACCCACTAAAAAAAAAAATAGGTACGATTTAAAAAAAACTTAAATATAACGCTATAGATCTACCGTGAAGAAGTGCTTAAGCTGATAGGTATTTTGTTAGTGGATGGTACTTCAGTATTTACCTCATCGAGTTGACTCATTCATGTTGTATACAAATACAACAAACTACTAATTATCTTATCTTTCCTTGTTAAAATTATTGAATAAGACACACAGCGCCATCTAGAAAATATATCCAGAACTTGTTGAAGCATTTATTGTGTTGCAGTTTTTACATCCATATTATTTTTTACTACCTATGTCTACATTTACTTCAGAATAAATTTAAGAAATAAGTACATACGACTATACGAGAAGAAAATATAATTGATAATATTTTCACACAAATAATTTCTTCAAAGCTTTATTCTTAAACGCTTTCAAATCGTTAATGTCAATTTGAAGTTGACATATTGTGTAAGTACGTCAACTCAGCTTAGTTGATTTTGTTTCTGTTTCACAGAAGCAAAACATTAATAATATTATTATTTTTCTGAAGCAAACATTAGTTCGCTTTTGATAAACAATGAATCACATTCGGCGACAACTTCTGCCATACACTGGTATGTATACATATCGCTATCATTTTAATGTATTTAGTTATAAAAAACATAGGCTTAGAGTGACTATGTAAATCATGTTTACAATAATATTATGTACAATGAGATAGTAGGTGTAGATTACATAATTGACTTTCGCTTTGTGTTAAATATATTATCATGTGACGCACAGTCTCAAAAATATGTCTATATTTAGTGTTAATTCGCACCAGTGATGTTGAATTGAGACCAAAAAGTTAATAATACAGTGAAAAATGATAATAAAATTTTTATTAGTGTCTATGCTAGTGTTAGAAGGTTATTGTGAAAGGAGGTTTAAACTGGAACAAGTTTTGATATTGAGCAGGCATAATGTTCGAACTCCTTTGTCTAAAAACCTGTTTGAGTTTACTCCGAAGAAATGGCCGAAGTGGAAGGAGAAAAGTGGTTATTTAACAGCTAAGGGAGCCTTATTAGAAGGATATATGGGTGAATACTTCACTTCTTGGCTGCAAAAAGAAGAATTGTTGAACAAAGACTGCCCAAGTGAGGATACATTCTTTGTTTACTCCAATACTGCTCAACGGACGTTAGCATCTGCAGAAGCATTCATCTCTAAAGGCTTCCCTGACTGTAATATAACTATACATCACACATCAGAAAGCAAAGATCCTATATTTAATCCAGTAATACATAATAATTCGGCCATGTTTAAACTAGAGGCGTCAGAACAAATGAAAGCATTACTCAAATCTTTAAACCTTAATACTTCATATGAGGATTTAGAAGATATACTTGATTATAAGCAATCCAATTATTGTTTGAACGAGAAAAAGTGTGATTTTACTAAAGACATGAATAAAATTTTTGTTGATGTCGGTTTTAAACCGAATTTGGAAGGTCCGTTAAAAATATCGAAATCTGTCATAGACTCTTTTATCATGGAGAACTATGAAGGGTTTCCGAGCAAGGAGGTTGCATGGGGATTATTAAAAAATGAACAGCAATGGGATTTAGTTTTAGCACTAAGTAAAGGCTACCACAATGTTATTTTTAACACAAGTTTAGTGGCTAGAGATTTAGCGAGACCATTATTGAAATACATTAGTCATATTATGTTCGAAAAACAATATAAAATAGCTTTACTTATGGGCCATGATGCTAATATTTACACGGTCCTCAAAAGCCTGGATGTCAAGCCTTTTAGTCTTAAGAACCAGCATGAAAAGACCCCTGCGGGTGGTAAGATAGTGTTTCAAAAATTGTTGGATGAAAATTCTGGCAGTTATTATTTAAAGTTGGATTATGTCTATCAGTGTACTGATCAAATGAGGGAAGGTAAGAAATTGTCTCTGAATAATCCTCCAGAATTCACCCCTTTGCAATTGGAGGGTTGCCAGTTAGAAGAAAATGGGTTTTGTCTATGGAATGATTTTGTTAACTTGTTGTATGGCTTGGTTGATAATTAATTGATTAATAATAATATTAAGTTGTAATTTGTACATAAGATATAACTTTTTGGCTTAATCACATTGTTTAATTTTAATTAACTAAAGTAAAACAACAAAATAATGATAAAAATGTAATATATTTGTTAACTAAGCTATGTATTCATAGCTTGATGTAACTGTAGTAGATTGACAAGTTTAGTAATATAATTTTAAGTAGTTCATAAATGTCAAGTTACCATTTTGTTTCATACCATAGTAATATTATTACTTATACTTAGTAATAATTACATTGTTTCGGCAGGTGCCATAGTCATCCATAGTTCCCAATTTACCGGTCCACAGCAACCCAGCCAAAGCCCTACCTTTTTTCCATTATCTGCAATAGTTCTAAACTAACCAGGGTTGTTAGGGTTTAGGTAGTGTTAGGGTTGTTGCCCTTGGGTGCATTGCCATAGAGCATACAGGGGATAGTCGCCGGTTTATGTGACCATTTCATTTAGATTAAAGTTGTATAAAGGACCTCTGCGCAGTTGGCTTCGGCCCCTCGTACGCCTCCCAAAATGACAGGGAGCCTGTGGTTCCGTGAATGGTAAAAAAAATTACTTAAGCACTTACATAATATCTACACAAATAATACTCAAAAATCTAGTGACATCTTAGTTTTAAGTTTAGACTACGAATAAGATGATAAATTACATATTTTAATTTTAATTTGTACGTAATAAATTAGTACACTGTCAAACTGTCATATTAATACCATTTTATATGAAGCTTTGAAATTATTAAAATTTTTATAATAACAAAATAATGGTTTTATTTCTTTTTATCCTCGCTGCTTCACTACCTCGTTAGTGGAGTGGTATTCGAGTGGTGGTTGGTGCAACTGCCGATCAAGGCGTTATGTCGAAAGAAAGAAAGAAAGAAAAAACATTTATTCGACAGTAGGCACGCACACAGATACAAAAAAATATAAAATTAAAAAAGAAAAGAACGTCGATTGTCATTATCGAAATGTCGATTAACATTGATTGTAAAACATTGATATTTTTTTATGCTATTAGCTGGTAAACGAGCAAACGGATCACCTGAAACATCAGATGCGTTACAAGTGCGTTATCGGCCTTTTGGGTGTTAGGATTTATGGAATAGGACGCTAACGAGCAGACGGATCACCTGATGGTAAGCGATCAGCGCCGCTCATGGACACTCGCAACACCAGAGGAGTCAATAACAATTTGAGGATGGTTGTGGATTCGAGGATTAGGAAGATTGAGGAGAGGGGTAATTGGGCCTCCGGTAACCTCACTCATACGACGAAACAATGCAAGCGTCGTTTCACGTCGGTTTTCTGTGAGGCCGTGGTATAACTCCGGTGGAATCGGCCCATTCGTGCTGAGGTATGACTCTCCCACACTTAAATACACCTTATTAGAAGTGGCGCTAGTTATATTATTGTCTGATTGTAGAGAGAATGACTTGAACGACTGCCTCGGTGGCCGAGTGGTCGCAAGTGCGACTGCTGGGCAAGGGGTCTCGGGTTCGATTCCCGAGTGGGGCAAAGTATTAGTGGGTTTTTAAAAATTCTCAGTACCTAGTAGCACGGAGTCTGGAATTGTGCGCGGTATATGGCAATAGGCTCACACCCCCTATTACATGGGACTCATAACAAATAAGGAAAAGTGGGTGTTACATTGTACTTACAGTGGCATAATGTGCACCTCTGCCTACCCCTTCGGGGATAAAAGGCGTGATGTTATGTTATGTTATGTAGAGAGAATGAGTGTCACCAAACTAGGTGATCGTTATTTTTAGACTACGTGTTCTTTCTAACAGACACGAACCATTAGGTACGACTTTGCCTAACCCTGAAACCTATTCCAAAAAGTCAATCAACTCTAATGAACGGTGATTTGAAGAAAAAAGTTTTAAAAAGAATTTTTATTACTGTAATAATTAGTTTTTCATGGTCAATTAGTATTGTTGAGGAGTGTCAAACATGTAGGTACGTACTTAGGTTTCGTCATGAGCTAATGTTCACATGTAAACAGCAGCTCATGTAGTGTACATGTCCAGTCAACAAGGATGTATCACACGTTGGGCTCGCTGCCATCGCAGCGGTAAGTCCCCTCTTTGAGGAGTGGCTTGAGAGACGCTACGGCGTCCTCACCTACCGCCTGACGCAGGTCCTCACCGGACATGGAAGTTTCGGGAGGTACCTGTGTCTGATGGGGCGGGGGGAAACGCCCGGGTGTCATCACTGCGAGGACCGCCCTGAGGACACGGTGGAACACACTGTAGCGAAATGCCCTGCGTGGGCTGAGCACCGCCGCGCCCTCAGGGAAGTGATCGGCGATGGCGACCTCTCGCGTCCGGGCCTAGTGCGGGCCATGATGCGGAGCGAGGGGGACTGGGATGCCGTCTCCTCCTTTTGCGAAGCAGTCATGCTAGCTAAGGAGGATGCGGGAAGCGTGAGGCAGCGAAGCGCTGCCTCCTCGCAACCCAGCCATCGCGAAGGACACACCGGGCGTCGGGGATCGCGAGACGATCTCCGGCCACCGTAAGCGCGGGCCTGCCGATGGCGAGCATGGGTGGCTCCCCGTCCGATCAGAAACAGACCCGAGCGTACGGCGCGTCGCGTTTCGCGCGCGCCTCAAAGAGCCATCAGACCACCACAGATGGGGCCCAATAGGGCCGATGCCGATTCGGAGTCGCGGAGAAGCTAACGGGTAACCGGGGCTCCGGCTCGACGTGCAGGAGAAGGAACGGGGTGGTTTTTAGTCAGACACTCTGAGTCACTCAAGAGTCTGACACTCCCTTCCGCCTCACCCAGGCGGGAGCAGGCATTCGATGATTTTCCCACATTAAAAAAAAAAGGCGACACACGTACTTAGGTATCGTCATGAGCTAATGTTCACATGTAAATGGCAGCTCATGTAGTGTAGATGTCCAGTCAACAAGGATGTAGCGAGGATGAATGTCCAGGTGTCACACGTAGGTATACTTTAGGTATAGTCATGAGCAGATGAGCTAAGTAGTACCTTTCTTCCTTTGGCACTTAGCATGGGTCCTACCTAGTCCCTGCCATTGAAGTGACCATATAGAGGACAATATAATATATGTTGGTTTGACGCCGTGGTTGAGCTACCGGCTACCGAGCAACGTGTCTCGGGTACGATTCCCGTACCAGGCACGGTTCCGGGTCTGGGTGTCATGTGTATGGGAACTTGTATGTTTGTAAACGCACCCACGACACAGGAGAAAATCATACTGTGGGACAACGATTTTTAAACTAAAAAAAATTAAGTACTTTGGTACCTAGTCAACTATCATATATCTGCAATGTTGTAATTTCATAGATAAGGTTTATACAAAGCGAGGAATCTAAGTTGTTATTATAATGTAAGTAATTCGACCCATTGTTGCAAAATCTACACTGTAATTACCTGCGGCTATCATTTTGTCTTCAAGTTTATTTCCTTTATATGAAAATATGTACTTAAATAAATAGGGTACATACCTACCTACTGGGTAGGTATGTATAACAGAATCATTCATTTGTTTACTAGCTTTTACCCGCGGCTTCGCTCGCGTTTCAAAAGGATAAAAAGCCAATGTGACATATACCAATACACACAGCGCCATCTATACCAATACTTTTGTTTTTCCTCGGGAATATCAATTTTTTCCGGGATAAAAAGTACCCAATTATTTAATCCAGACTTCTAACTTTACGTCTGCAAAAATTCCATGCAATCGGTTTAGAAGTTACGGCGTGAAATCGGAACAAACAAACAAACTCACTTTCCGATTTATAATATTAGTAAGGAAGTAAGGATTCAAAACGGGATTTTCGTTTGTTTCGTCTCAGTCAAGCATCTCTACTTATCATTAATTATTCTTAGTTAGTAGCAAGATCTTATTATAGAACCTATATACACAAACTTAGGAACGCGACGCGTCGTACGCTTTGGTATGGTTCTGGTCGGGCGGCGAGCTACCCATGCTCGCCGTCCGCAGGCCCTTGCTCACGGTGGCCGTGGTCCCCAACGGCTGGAGTGTCCTTCGCGATGGCTAAAAATTAGCGAGGTATGTATGACGTGGTATCGCTCTCGCACACCACTCGACCCGTCCGGACAGTCGTCGTATAGGTTCGACAATAACTTTACATAACATCACGCCTTTTATCTCCGGGCAATTTTCAGGTTCTTCCCGAACAACATTTCCTGGATATTTGGGCAAAAAGTCTGTCTTTTTTTTAAAAAAACGATGCCCACACTAGGATTTTCTCCTGTGTCGTGGGTGCGTTTACAAACATACAAGTTTACATACAGATGACACCCAGACCCGGAAAAACAATCTGTGGATCACACAAAGAGTTGTTCCGTGCGGGAATCGACTCGGCTACGCGTTGCGCGGCAGTTGCCCAGCCACCGTGCCAACCCTGCAGAAGTCTAACTGTAGGTTCCTACAGTGAAGCTATTTGGTCGTTCGACCAAATAGCTTCACTAGAGGACTGACCTACAGGCTGACATTTTTTTCTTATTATTTAATATTTAAATATTTTGTTTTGACATTCAAAAGTGCCTTCCTGATCTAATTGAAATAAATAATTTTGACTTTGACTTTATAGGTAGGTATTTGAATTGAAATCCACACGTAAGAACAAGAATAGAAAAAGCGACCATAAAAATTCTTGGATACTTAAATAATTTGTCGACTTTCACTGTGACAATTACTTACGTGTTTTATTTCTTTACGATCTTTAAATTAAATGATAAGTAGGTAATCTGTTGGATATCTTTATTTCAGCTAGGTTATTATGTAACCTAAATTGCTTTTTGTATGAGATAAGAGGGTAAACGAGCAGACGGATCACCTGATGGCAAGCAATCGGCGCCGCCCATGGAAACAGGAGTTATAATGTGCATTGCCGGTGTTTGGAGGACGAGAGGTGCTTGGCTTTTCTGTGTCCTGCATTAAAAAACATCCCGGTGAGTAGAAACCTTCTTATTGCGGAATTCAAGACAGCTGTTCATGTCTCTGGGACGCACTGTCTCTGTTTGTATGGTTGTATCCACAGAAATATTAAAAAAATCTTTAACCCGTCGAGCGCCCGCGTTCCTTATGATCCAACGGGTGTACACATGACATTTGGAGCATTTTTTCTTATGATCCACCGGGTGCTCATAAGGACGCTCGAGGGGTTAATATATCTATGGTTGTATCTATTGTAGATCCTGGTGCAAAGGTATTGAAGCGGTTTTGTTAGGCTGTGGTGGGCTTCTCCCAGAGAAATGTAAGGTACTATAAACCTTGTATATAATTACTGTAAACCCATTTTACAATCTACGTTATCGTAGGTAGGTCAATAATTAATTCTAAGGTTAATATGATCTTCAATAGGAACGCAGCATAAACATTTTTTATGAGCTGTTATGTAGTCGGAAATGGGCTAGTTTTATTTAAAACTCGTCTATGACAATCGTAGTAATTTTACAAACAGTTCTAAAATCAAACGTCACTATAAATACTACAAACATGGCGCCAAGGTCAATCCTAATACCGATTATAATGTTACGTAATTATTCCACAATTTAAATACCAAAATACATAAAAAATGGCCGATGTAGGTGACCGGAATATTTTTCGTAAAGGTCATTAACACTGTAGTAACTATTATAAACAAATAGACCTACTTTGGCACAAATACATGCTTGTTCTATAGATAAAAAATATTTCTGTTGTCGGTATCGGAAGGCCAGTTAGCGTCCGCGCGTGGCTGAACGCACACGACATTGACGCGTTAAGTGAAAAAAAAACATAACTCCCGCCATTTGTGTATTATTTCATCTGTCAAAAAAGTTTTTTTTATTTTGTATTTTTTATGTCGTGTTGTCAAATTGTTTGGTGTTTTCGTATATTTTATACGTTTTGGTATGTATTGTATTTATTTTTAACATGTCTTTTATGTAGCTAGCTAATACGTCATAATAATAATTTTTTACTTTCTTGTATTTCAACAGAGTCTCCAAAACAGTGTTGTCGATTATACTGCCAGTGTCGAGTATATTTACATATTTGATTATTAACTTGTTAGTTCGAGATCTATGAGAATAACAAAACTATCTACTTAGACCCAATCTATAAATATTTAAAAGATTCTCTTATGGGCTACCCCCTATTGAGGTGACGTATCAGGTACCTACAAAGATTAAAATAATTCGCAAGTCATTATTTCTTAGACTCGTCTATTAATATTTTTTTTTAAATGCTGTTATTTAGGTAGCTATTTACTATACATAGATTCGTAGATAGGTGCATTAGTGCATAAAACCTATATACAAATAAATATTGCTGTTCATTAATAACGTTAAAACACTAAAACAGCTGAACGGATTTGACTAATTTTAATCATGAATTATTGAATTATTTGAAGAAGTCCAGGGAAGGTTTATAAGGCGTGAAAAAAATGGAGGTGGTATGAAGATTACCGGGTCAGTCAGTAAAAAAAAAACACTCAATACGGGTAGGCAGAGGTGCACACGATATTAACTCGTTGAGTAGGTACCGTCATTATAGACACAATTAAAGAACAATAGGTTGCGGTCACCGGTGTCCTCGCGGTGTTTGACAGTTTAACTCGTCGAGTACCGGTTTTATAGACACAATTAAAGAACAATAGGTCGCGGTCACCGGTGACCGCTTGGTGTTTGACAGTTTAAATGCATTTATCACGCTTTTTATTAGTTATGTTAAATATTTTTATGTACCCACCTATACCGAACTTATTATAATAAAATAATCATTTATACGTCGTGTCCTGTTGATCATACGTCGTATCCTTAACCGGACAACGATTTTCCTGTATAATAACTACAGAAGACTAAGAAATACAAACAACATAACATCACGCCTTTTATCCCCGAAGGGGTTGGCAGAGGTGCACATTATGCCACTGTACAATGTAACACCCACTTTTCACTATTTATGTTATGAGTCCCATGTAATAGGGCGTGAGCCTATTGCCATATACCGGGCACAATTCCAGACTCCGTGCTACTACTACTGAGAATTTTTAAAAACCCCAGTAATACTTTGCCCGACCCGGGAATCGAACCCGAGACCCCTTGCAGTTAGGCAGGCAACTAAGATATTATAATAGATTTATTCATAAAATACTAGAATGAAATGCTTTCACTATGGGAGTCCATCATCGTCATCACACGTGAATGAGCCATGCTTCAACACGAATAGGCCGGCTCAACCGGAGTGATACCACGGCCTCACGGGGAATCGGCATGAAATAATGCACGCCGCATGAGTGATATTACCGCGAGGATTTTCTCCTGTGTCGTGGGTGCGTTTACAAACATACAAATTCACATACACAATGACACCCAGACCCGGAACCATAAATTGTGAACACTTTGCTCCATGCGAGAATGAAGCCGGCAATACGATATAGACTTTTTTAGTTTTCTCTATGTAACATAACATAAACATAACTTCACACCTTTTTATTCCCTAAGGGGTAAACAGAGGTGCACATTACGGCACTTTTTTTTAAGGGGGGAAAATCATCGAATTACGTCCCCGGCCTGTGTGAGGCGGGAGGGAGTGTCAGACTTTTATTGACTAAAAAACACCCCGTTCCTTCTCCTGCACGTCGAGCCGGAGCCCCGGTAACCCGTTAGGACAGCACTTACTGCCACTTTACAATGATACACCTACTTTTCACTATTTATGTTATGAGTCATGCCATGTAATAGAGGGTGATCCTATTGCCCATATACCGGGCACAATTCCAAGCTTTATGCTACTACTGAATTTTTTTTAAAACCCAGTACTACTTTATTTGACCCGGGAATCGTACCCGAGACCCCTTGCCCAGCAGTCGCACTTGCAACCTATGTAAAAATATTATTATATTTACCAGTTATTCACAGTAATAAATTACTTAATATTATCAACATATTGTGAGCAATAGCAATAATATACATGTCTAATAAATATCCTTATAATCGTAATGTTTACACAATTTGTTGTGACTTGACTGATTGCTTGCATTACAATTTATAGGGTTGATGGCATTCATTTATATGTGACTGATAATATAAAGGGTTAAGGACTGGGATTCCTTGCCTGGATACTGTTTCCTGAAGGGTGGATTCAAGTCCTTATGGGCAGGCGTAGGTACTCCATCGTAGGCCGCATCATCGCTTACCATCAGGAGAGATGGTGGCTAAACGCGGTCGGTTTTTTAAAACGTTCGTTTGTTAAATATTAAAAGCAGAGTACAATGCTCGGTTGGCGCGTTAGCTGGACAATCGGCTGCCGCGCAACGTGTAGCGGGTTCGATTCCCGCACGGAGCAACCCTTTATGTGTTGTTTCGGGTCTGGGTGTGATATGTATGTGGATTTGTATGTTTGAAGCGGGCGTTCTAAACCTCCTGGCTACCACGATATTATATATAAATTATCATTTACATACACATTACATCAGATTAGGCAACTACATTAGGTATAAAAAACATTTAGCATAAATGAAAATTCCAAGTAAACGAAGAAGGGGCTTTGCCTCGGAGTAGGAGCTGGAACGGGGTTATTTTTAGTTAGTAAGAGTCTGACATTCCTTCTCGCCTCACCCAGGGCAGGAAGAGATTTGATGATTCCCCCCCAAAAAAAAAAGAAAATAAATTCACCCGTTTGCTGTCTAATTAAAAAACTATTTGTCTACAGTTCCACCACCAGATCGTCATGAAAAACTAAACCATGGACGGGATCCTAAAGAATTTTACCACCCGTTCTCCAGCTGAGGAGATATCACGCTCTCAATACTCACTGGTAGCTACTGATGTGACTGAGGAAGCTGTTCAGTTGTGGTTGGAACTCCCTGACGAAGTGAGAGCTGATTCATCATGGGAGATCTTTCGAAGCAAATGGGAGAAGGAGCATGGTACGAATTACTTATGATACATACATCCAATGGTCCTACTAATCCTATCCTATCCTACATACTATATTCCGTCAAGGACACTCCGGGCGTCGGGGATCGCGGGACGATCTCCGGTCACCGTAAGCGCGGTCCTGCGGCGAGTATGGGTGGTTCGCCGCCCGACCAGAACCAGACCCGAGCGTGCGGTGCGTTGCGTTCCGTACACGCCTCAAAGAGCCATCAGACCACCACAGATGGGGCTCAATAGGGTTGGTGCCGATACGGAGCCGCTGAGAACTTAACGGGTTACCGGGGCTCCGGCTCGAAGTACAGGAGTAGGAACTGGGTGGTTTTTAGTCAATAAGAGTCTGACACCCTGACGCCTGCCTTAACAAGGCGGGAGAACTCATTCGATGATTTTCCACCCTTAAAAAATCATTCTTTTCATACATTGCATGCAGGCATTACGTGATTACTCGTCGGCTTAGAGTCGAATTATCAACGCAAATTAAATTATAAGAGGAATAAGTTTGTATATTTGACAATTGGTCTATACTAAAAACTTTCAATTATAAATTAAGTGTTCCCGTAGCATTTTGCCAACCACTTTTTTGCCGGCTTGCCGTCCTGTAGTTATGCCAAAGATAATAATGTTTCAAAAGTACATCTTTAAAAGTAAACATTACCGTCTTCACAAAAATAGGGTAGTATCCTAAATTTTATTTTATGTCCGTCTGGTACATTAATTTAAAACTTTAGACACGTATTTTTTCTTTTCTCAAAAATTAAATACTTTCGACGATATATTAATTTGTAATATCATGTGACGTCACAGCGTGCCACATTTTTAGCACGTTATGACGTAACGACCTCCCACTCCTAATCGCCTTAGCGCCATTTTATCTAAGTATTGTAACTTAATACGAAAATAAAAAAATACGTATCAAATATTTTTTCATTATCTAACTGACGGACTAATTTGATTTTCAATTTTCATACCCTGGAAACTACCCAATGTGTTAACTATTCATTAAATTGTCAAATACCGCGAGGACACCGGTGACCGCAACCTATTGTTCTTTAATTGTGTCTATAATGACGGTACTCAAAGTGTTAAACTAAATTTGATCAACAAATTCCTCTCTATTCTCACATGACACTTCCTTAAAAGGTTTTTCGCTAATAAGGCAGTACCACAGAAATGTTAAAAACATTTTATTAATATGGGTAGCACCTTATACAGATATTTGTACTAATAAAAGTGTGGATACAACAATTTAATTCTTACCATATTGACCAAATTCAGTTTTGTCGAGTAAATACTAAGATGTAGAGGTATCTCTTGTACAGAGATCAGATTAGGTATGATATGACATTGAAAGGTTAACAATGATATAATAATGCTTGTACCTAGATAATATAAAATAATATTATTTTAAACTAGCGACCCGCCCCGGCTTCGCACGGTTGCAATATGCATGTATAATACATATGAACCTTCCTTAACCCTTTGAGTACCGTCATTATAGACACAATTAAAGAACAATAGGTTGCGGTCGCGGGTGTCCTCGCAGTTTTTGACAGTTTAAGAATTACTCTATTTATTAAAAAAAAAACCGCATCAAAATCCGTTGCGTAGTTTTAAAGATCTAAGCATACATAGGGACAGACAGACGGCGGATACCGACTTTGTTTTATACTATGTAGTGATGTACGAATGATACCGATACGACCTTCAAACCTTCAAGAAAGAGCGTATTCCATTTTAAAAGGCTGGCAACGCTCCTGTGACTCCTCTGGTGTTGCGGGTGTCGATTGGCAGCGCTGATCGATGATCTGGTCAGGTGATCCGTCTTCTCGTTTGCCTCCTATTCCATAAAAAATGTGACGTCATGATAGATGTTTACTGAAAGAGTAAAGAAATAAAGAAAGAAAATGCATTTATTTGGCCATTGGCACACTAAAACAAGGATCATTAAAATAGAAATAAAAAATGCAGTTACCTAAATAAAAAAAAAAAACATTAATAATAGATTTAAAAGAGAAAATAAATGAACAAAAATCATTAGAGCATAACACAATACATTAGAATAATAAGAAATATAATATCTTGATTTAGCTCATGAGATTGTCGACATGTGGGATGTGGATTCAGCAATCATCGTGGTGATAGTCGTACCTGCCAATGGCCTCATTGCTAAAAGCCTCGACCAACACCTGAGTAGGCTAGCGTTAGATGATTGGGTCAAGGGCCTGATGCAAAAAGCAGTACTTCTGGACACGGCGCGTATTGTCCGGAAATTCCTTTCTCTAGAGCCCTGACCACCGGTAGCTTGGATTTCTTCCGCTACTGCTTCTTATATTTTTAAATGTTTTTTTTTTTTTATAATTATATATTTAAAAATGTATAAGTCAAATATAGAAATATAGAAAGGAAATATAATAATAATAATAAAGTGCGCGTGCCCAGGTCAAAAGGGCGTCCACCTCAGCACTTGAGCGTTTCTGCCCAACGCTGGTTTTCAGGTGGCACCCTGCAGTGACTCACGGACGGCGGTACCGCCCCTCAATAAGGAGAGGAGTAGATAAAAATGCATTCATTGCTCATTTTATAAAATTGGATCCTTCTGCCAGCGCCTTCGACAGCGTACCTCTGTTTCAAATTTCATTCTCATCCCTTCAGTCGTTTTGACGTGAGTGAGTAACGAACGTGTTCTGGTGGTTCTGGTTCTGCTCTAGTGTTCCAGGTGTCCATGGGCGACGCTGATTACTTACCATCAGGTGATCCGTCGGCTCGTTTACCGGCTTATGCCATAAAAAAAAGCAGGACTGCCTCGTTGGCCTAGTGGTCGCAATTACGACTGCTGGGCAAGAGGTCTCGGGTTCGATTCCCGGGTCGGTCAAAGTACCACTGTGTTCTTAAAACCAATAGACCTCAATAGTAGAACGGAGTCTGGAATTGTGTCCGGTATATGGCAATAGGCTCACCCCCTATAACATGGGACTCATAATATAAATAGTGAAAAGTGGGTGTTACATTGTACAGTGGTATAACGTGCACCTCTGCCTACCCCTTCGGGGATAAAAGGCGTGATGTTATGTTATGTTATGTATTATTAGTAAGTTTATAGACTGCATCTTTGGTCGACTGATCGCAAATGCGACTGCCGGGGAAGGGGTCTCGAGTTCGATTATCGGGTCGGTCAAATTACTACTAGGTTTTATTAAAAATCTTAGTTGTAGCACGGAATCTGGAATTGTACCCGGTAGATGGTAATAGGCTCACCCCCTATTACATGGGACTCATAAACTCATAACATAAATAGTGAAAAGTGGGTGTTACATTGTACAGTGGCAGTAAGTGCTTTTAAAACCCCAGTAATACTTTGCCCGACCCAGGAATCGAACCCGAGACCCCTTGCCCGGCAGTCGCACTTGCGACCACTCAGCCAACGAGGCAGTCGGCGTGCAGCATTTATATTTATTTATATATTTTTTTAATGTTCAGGCCACCACCAAAACAGACACGCGAACAACACAACAGTCATACATCGGCTACCTTCAGTCAATTCTGCTCCACATTTAAATAGAAACGGTCATGGAGATGACGTCACGTTTGCCAATAGACAGAGAGAGAAGCAAAGAGGCGATGAGAAGACCGAGTTTATTGAGTGAGTAAATGAGCATAGATTTTTTTTTATACCACGACGGTGGCGAATAAGCACACGTCCCACCTGATGGTAAGCGGTGACCGTGGCCTATGTACGCCTGCAACACTTGGGGCATTACATGCGTCTTGCAAACCCTTAAGACCTATTCACTCCCCTCTTGAAGAACCCCACGTTGTAGCCCACTGGGAAAACCACATTGAGCATAGATTTTTTTTTTATATAGCTTTGCTTTACTTTTGTATGGTTTCACCGTCTGCTCGGGATCTGTTGATATTGATCATAGCATGCTGTTATGGCCTATAGCTTTCATTGATAAATGAACTATCCAGTACTTATTTTTTTTAAATTTGATATCGTATCTTTTTTTATGGCATAATCCGGTAAACGAGCAGACGGATCACCTGATGGTAAGCAATCGGCATCGCCCATGGACGCCTGGAACACTAAAGGCATTACAAGTGCGTTACCGGCCTTTTGGGGATTAGGAGTTTGAAGATCGTTGGGGATTCAGGGATTAGGTAAATTGGGGAAGGGGAGGGTAATTGGACCTCCGGTAACCTCACTCATACGACGAAACACAACGCAAGCGTTGCTTCACGGCCGAGTAGAAAACCGAGGCGAAACAATACGTGCGTTGTGTTTCGTCATGCGAGTGAGGCTACTGGAGGCCCAATTACCCCCTTCCCGATCTACCCAATACCCTAATCCCCATAATCCTGAAATTCCTAATCCCCAAAAGGCTGGTAACGCAATTGTAACACCTCTGGTGTTTCGGGTGTCCATGGCCAACGCTGATTGCTTACACTTAGGTGATCCACCTGCTCGTTTACTGACTTCTCCTATAAAAAAGTAAACGTTGACTTAATTTTTTTGGGTCCAATTTATCATATCTGCAACACCAGAGGCGAATGCCGATAACAGACAATTGTTTTTATAATAACTATCGTGAGACATAGTAAATTAACTAAAATCGCAGGTTACTCACGTGAATATACTGAGAGAAGCTCTACTAGTTTCGAACCACAGAGGGGTTCTTCCTCATGAGCAGCGTGCGCGGTCGCCGCGACGTCGCACAGCTCACAGAGTTTTTCTCAGTATATTCACGTGAGTAACCCGCGATTTTAGTTAACAGACCAATTATAATCTTAACTCGCTAGCTGTAATATACAACTTCCTAAATATTTTTCAGATCTGATAACGCACCTACTTCGAAACCTAAATCGAAAGTAAGTAAGAAAACTTCTTCTTTTTTATATATATTTGAATGAGCCGACGTTTGACCACTATCTCGCCTGGTGGTAAGCGATGATGCGATCTACGATGGAACACGTCGTCCCATAAGCAATCTATTCACTCGGACTTTGATCACACCCAAGTTATACCCTCCAGGAAATACAGACTATGACAAAGAATTCCACTCCTTAGCAGTACGCACAAGGAAGCCTAATGCGAACTGCTTCATGGGTGTGGGTGGGACGTCTATCATGAATCGGAAATTCTTCTTTAAATTGCCTTATTCAAGTATATTATCGGCACAAAATGTCTTTTATTCCCGATAAGTCGGTAAACGAGCAGACGGATGACCTAATGGTAAGCAATCGGCATCGCCCATGGACGCCTGGAACACTAAAGGCATTACAAGTGCGTTACCGGCCTTTTGCGGATTAGGAGTTTGAGGATCGTTGGGGATTCAGGGATTAGGGAGATTGGGGAAGGGGAGGGTAATGGAGCCTCCGGTAACCTCATTTAGACGACGAATGGCTCTCCCACACTTAGAGAAGAGAAGTTTGCTTCATTAAAGAAGTTTGCTACTATCTAGTCTCTATGACTTACTCATTTTATTTTAGCCAAACTGAGGTTACGAAACACTGATATTAGTTTACTCATTACTTTAATTCCAAGTACCTAATAATATCACGCTACGATGGTTGTCAAAAGTTTAGAAAATAATAGAAGACTCAAGATAAACTCAATAACACTTTCGCTTACTCGACAGATGGCGCGAACTCGGCAATCAGTTAAAATATCCCTTTTGGTCGGAGTATGGATATTCTTCACAGTGGTATTTCTGATGCATAATGAGAAGGAAGAAGTTACTAGACATTCTTCTGTGACTCCTGGAGAAATCAAAGGTAATTTAAAAAAAATCACACATCTGTGACACATCTGTAACTCCTCTGGTGTTTCCAGTGTCCATGGGCGGCGTCAATAGCTTACCTACCACTAGGCAATTCGTCTGCTCGTTTGGCTCTATCGTATAAAATAACAATAATTTGAAGAATTTTTATAATTTTATTTTTTCCACTGATATAAGTACGGTGGAGGAAACCATTGTGATATGTACAGTGAAACTTGGATTTGTTATATCCCTTAAAGTGATAATAACTAAGAAATTTTAAATCCACCTTGAGTAAGCGTGGTGATTAATACTCATTTAACTTTGCCTAGCAGAGCAGAACATTTATTGGGCCAGGCACAATTCCTGATTCCGGACAACCATGAGACATGAGACAACAACTATAAAAATTTTTCAAAAAACTGTAAAAATAACTTCAATTAATAATTCAAAACCACTTTGTCATCTTTTTCCAGACTACCTAATCCAGAATAATAAAAATAAGCATTCAGTATTACTAAAACTGACTGGACCATTCTTGTCCGAAGCTTACGAGAAAAAATTGAACATTCATGAGAAGCGGAATATGAGTAGAATGGATATCTGGATAGAAAAGTGGATTCCGAATGGTCCTACCCAGGATCTTGGAGAGGGCTCTGATTATGAGACTATAGAGGTATGAAAAACTTATTTTATTTAATTCAGCTGTTTTGTTTTGAAGAGTTACGGTTGTTTTAGTTTTAAACAGTTATTTGTCAGTTTTTGTCACTGATATTAGAAATTGTTTTTGCGAATCAAATGATGCTTTTGGTTGGTGATTAATACATTTTTCTATGACAACATGCACTGTTCTCCAGTTATATTATTAATCTTAGATAGTATTTATCATGTTAAATGCCACAGAAGTCACCGGTGATAGAGGTTAATGGAAGATTTCCCTTCAATAGTTTTCTGTACTGGCCTTTCCATACACCGAAGACGATTAGAAATGACTGAGAATTTCACCGTACTTTTTTACCATTCACGGAACCACAGGGTTCTGATCATTTGGGAGGCGTACCAGGGGCCGAAGCCAACACAAAGGTCATTTAGACAACTTTAATCTAAATTTAATGGACACAAATCGGCGACTTTCCCTGTATGCTCTATTCACCGTGCATATTACCTATTAACATTATCGAAAAAGTAAATCCTCATAATTAATATATATATTTTCTAATCCTGAAAATCCACCTTAACATTCCCGTACAAGTCCCAAGCATTTTCAATACAGTGTCTACTCCCTAAAAATATACAATACTACCAAAATTTTCAGAGCTCCATCTATTGGACGATAATATTAGAAAATCAAGCCGAAGACTTCCATGAGAGTGAGACTCGATCTTCTGTCTTAGTTCTACCATCTTCTTCTGCAAATCAAAGCGTTCTAGCTGTGAGAATGGCAACGACATCTAATGTTACGACTCCGTTCACTCTGAGCTATACTTTGGATCCCCTAGATGGGACTACTGGCATTATTTATGCTTGTATTCTTCTATTTGCGTTATATGCCTTGATTGTGTTCGAGGTAAGTGGTTTTGATAGTATTCTTTTTGGTGAAAAACAGACTTTAAATCTCTGAAGGTGTCATAAATAGATTACCTGTGTTTTTACCGGTTATGATATAGTATTGCAATATACTTGTCCAAAATACGAGTTATTACTGAGTAGTCTTCTGAAAAACCGATAAACTTAATAATACTTTGCCTAAACTAACATTTTAATTCAAATAAAGTATATGGTCGGTGCTGCCTATGACAATATGGTATGCCGTACCAAAGTTACAAGTGCGTGGCCGGCCTGTTTTTTGAAGGATTGGATCTCCAGGAACCTCACCAGAAAACGCTTGGCCCTTTATCATTAGCTTCACTGACGGACTATTCTATTTTTAACGAACCAAAAGTGTCTAATTGAAATAAATGCTTTGACTTCACTCTAATCACCATCAGGTAATAAACAGGACGATGGCAGCAGTTCTCTTATCCACTACATCACTAGCAGTGTTATCCATAGCTGGTGAAAGACCGTCAGTGCCGGAGATCATATCCTGGCTGGACGTGGAGACATTACTCCTACTCTTCAGCATGATGGTTCTGGTCGCCATTTTAGCTGAAACTGGCGTTTTTGATTACTTCGCTGTACTGACTTTTCAGGTAAGTTTTTAATGGTCTTTTTTTAGTATTAAAATAACCAATTCGCTTTTTTATCACCGAAGGTGTAGGCAGACTGCAGAGATGCACATTATGGCACTTAATACTTCTGTACAAAGTAACACCCACTTTCCACTATTTATGTTATGAGTCCCATGTAATAGGGGGTGAGTCTATTGCCATATACCGGGCACATTTCCAGACACCGTGCTACTACTGAGTTAAAAAAAAAACTATATTACACTGCCTCGTTGGCCGAGTGGTCGCAAGTGCGACTGCCGGGCAAGGGATCTCGGGCGACATAATATTACGCCTTTTTATCTCCGATATAAAAATATATATAATAAAAAGGCGATATAAAAAGGCGTGATGTTATGTTCGCATTTATAATATTAGTACGATAGGACAAGACATTCAATAAAAATTTAAACCCAAGACCTACTTTCCGATCATAAAATAACAAGTCTAAATAGACTACAAAAGACGACTATGATCTCATGATATGCTACTCACATATAACAAGACAAACACACATACTGTTCTCATTAATACAGATATACATTTGAATGATAACAAGGATGATGTATGACCGATAATCTATTTGTTGATTTCATTTGAATGACTGACTGACAAGGTTGTTGCGAATTATGATCATTCGAATTATCTTTTGTATAGAGGTATGATACATGTATACGCTATCTATCGACTGGTGTTATAAATGCAAAAAAAGTTGATTTTCCTTTTCGGTTTTTTTAAACGTTGCCCCGCACTAGGATTTTCTCCTGTATCGTTGGTGCGTTTACAAACATACGAGTTCACATACACATGACACCTAGAGGTAGAACCGAAACAACAATATGTGGATCACACATTAATGAATTTGAAATTTGACACAAAGAGTTGTTCAAACTTATAATTAGAAATTATAAGCCCAGGTTTCCTCACGATGTTTTTCCTTCACCGTTTGTCAGTGGTGTCTAAATAATCTTAGAAAGTACATATAACTCGGAAAAACTCACATTGGTACTTGCCGTTGGTAGGTTTCGAACCCGCACCCTCATGCATGAGAAGTGGGCGTCTTAAACCTCTGGGCCACCATGACGTTTTTGTCATTGATATTATAAATTGTTTTTGTGAATCAAACGATGCTTTTGGTTGGTGATTAATACATTTTTCTATGACAACATGCACTGTTCTCCAGTTATATTATTAATCTTAGATAGTATTTATCATGTTAAATGCCACAGAAGTCACCGGTGATAGACGTTAATGGAAGATTTCCCTTCAATAGTTTTCTGTACTGGCCTTTCCATACACCGAAGACCGTTGTTCCGTGCGGGAATCGATATCGCGACACGTTGCGCGACAGCCAGTTGCCCAGCCACCGCTCCAACCGTGCAGTCAATGATTAGCGCGATGGTTACTCGGCTACCGACCTATCCCATAGATAGGTCGGTAGAGTAAAGAGGCCACCTGATGGTAAGCAATAGGTATCGCTTATGGTCACCCGCAACAGCAAAGGAGTTAAAAGTCCATTACGAGGAATGGAATGGAAATTGAGAATCTCTAGTTACCTCAATCACTTGCTAGTATTAGAATAGTTTTCTGTGAGGCAGTGATATTACTCTGGTCGAGCCGGCCCATTCGTGCCGAAGCATGACTCTCCCACATTTAAATAGTCTTATCTTTAGTCGGGTGTCGTACACCGACGTAAAGAATTAGGGTGGTGACAAACAACTAACCTTCTAAAATATTGTTTCAGCTATCCAGAGGCAAGATATGGCCGTTGATAACAATGCTTTGTGGGATGACATCAGTAGTATCATTGTTACTCGATAATGTAACGACTGTGCTTCTAATGACGCCTGTATCTATACGGTAGGTTGACCATTTTCTAGACGGATTAACCTCTTATCTTCCGGAATATAGGACTGGGATGCCGTCTCCTAATTTTGCGAAGCAGTTTTGTCGGACACGGGAATTGAAACTATAAGAATTATTTCCTGACTAGCTTCTGCCAGCGGCTTCGCCCGCGATCCCAGGGGTAAAATGCCTATGTATCACTTCAGACCATAATCTACCTCTGTTCCGAATTTCATTCCGGTCCCTTCAGCTAATTTCAACCATTGGCCTTTCAGTTACAGCGTAAAGTCTATGAATGAGTATTGTGAACGTTAGAGTAGACAAATACAATCAGAAATCACCGAATTGCTAAGTTATCGGGAGATTCACGTGTTATTGTGAGTCAACCATAAAAGATAGACATATGCTGTCGAGGAATATTTTTTATATAATTTTAAGGAAAATATTTCCGTCCTACATGATTTCTATGTAGCTTTAACCTATAAGCCTGCACACGCGACGGAAGCTTCAAAAATGGAGTAACTTCTCCCGTTTTCCCAATATTTCCCTTTACTGCTCTGCTCCTATTGATCGTAGCGTAATGAAAAGTATACTATAACCTGCCCAAGAGTATGAAGAATAATTGTGCCAAATTTCGTTAAAATCCGTCGAGTAGTTTTTGTTTCCATAACGAACATACAGACAGACAGACAGACAGACAAAAATTTTACTGATTGCATTTTTGGCATCAGTAGCGATCCCTAACCATCCCTTGATAGTTATTTTTTAAATATATTTTATGTACAGAATTGACCTCTCTACAGATTTATTATAAGTAATAGATTACCTACTTTTTATTATATTTTACCATATACTGGAATCTTATAAACTATAAAAATATTATTCTACTTTCTAGGCTATGCGAGGTGATGGAATTGGACCCCATACCGGTTTTACTAGCAATGGTACTATTCTGCAACCTTGGCGGCACTGCGACTCCTGTAGGCGACCCCCCAAACGTCATCATAGCTTCTAACAAGCAAGTTGTTCAAGCTGTAAGTATGCATTTAATTAAAAATCGTGATTTTAGTTAATTTAGTATGTCTCACGATAGTTATTATAAAAAAAGGAATTAGCTAGTTTAACATTTGACAGAAAGCTGTAATGATTGAACAAACAGACCTTGTACTAGATTTGTGCCATTGGGGAATAAAAAAAACGATAGCTCCTATTAATTATTATGTTTTTGGCTCACTCACGTAACTGTTTGACGTGGAACTCGACTAGTTTCAAGCCATGCTAGAGGCTCATATTCATGTTCATTAACTCGTCGAGTACCGGTTTTATAGACACAATTAAAGAACAATAGGTCGCGGTCACCGGTGACCGCTTGGTGTTTGACAGTTTAATATTGAAACTAGTAAGCCGGAAACATAATAATTAATTAGTATAACATAACATCAGGCCTTTTATATCCATAATGTAAGGCAGAGGTGTACATTATGCCACTGTACAATGTAACACCCACTTTTCACTATTTATGTTATGAGTCCCATGTAATAGGGGGTGAGTCTATCGCCATATATCGGGCACAATTCCAGACTCCGTGCTACTACTGTAAATTTTTTGAAAAACCCAATAATATTGTGCCCGACTCGGGAATCGAACCCGAGACCCCTTGCCCGGCAGTCGCACTTGCGACCACTCGGCCAATGAGGCAGTCAATTAATTAGTATGTCTCAGGAAAGTTTTAGTATGAAGATAACTCTCTTTGAATGCACGGCTCATTAAGCTAGTTGGCTTCAATATTATACCAATTTCCTCTCATCATCAGGGCATCAACTTCACCAACTTTACTCTGCATATGACCTTCGGTATACTCCTGGTAGCTGTTCAGACCTACCTTCAGCTCAGGTTCATCTTTCGAGACACAAACAAATTGAGATTGACTGAATCTAAGGATGTTCAAGGTAAGATACAGTATCATAATAGGGTATCATACATGACACATGACACATGACTTCACATTTGGCGCGGTGGTTGGGCAACTGACTGCTGCGCAACGTGTCGCGAGTTCGATTCCCGCACGAAACAACTCTTTGTGTGATCCACAGATTGTTGTTCCGGGTCTGGGTGTCATGTGTATGTGAACTTGTATGTTTGTAAACGCACACACGACACAGGAGAAAATCCTAAGGTGGGGCAACGTTTAAAAAAAAACTTTAATATCCGTCTGGTAGGTTATTTTAAAACATGAGACACGTACTTTTTCTTAATATATAACATAACATTACGCCTTTTACCCCCGAAGGGGTAGGCAGAGGTGCACATTATGTAACACCCACTTTTCACTATTTATGTTATGAGTCCCATGTAATAGGGGGTGAGCCTATTGCCATATACCACGCACAATTCCAGATGCCGTGCTACTACTGATACTTTGCCCGACCCGGGAATCGAACCCGAGATCTTTTGCCCAGCAGTCGCACTTGCGACCACTCGGCCAACGAGGCAGTGCTTTTTCTTTTCTTACAAAATTAAATATTTTCGATGATATATTGATTTGAAATATTGTATGACGTCACGATTTAATACATTTTATAGGGTAGCGTGCGTGACCTCTATACATATAATATAATACATACATATATAAATAAATGCAATACATAGACTACATATTACCACTGTTTTGAGTTTGCCACTTTCTATAAATGTGTTCCCGAACCTTGAATTTAAATGAACAGCGATTATTTGCCATTCTGATTTCCTTGGGCAGCGCGTTCCACAGAGAGACAGATTGAACGAAAAAGGAGGAGTGAAGATAGTCAGTGCGGTGAGTGGGACATTGAAGTTGACGGTTATTAGATGAGCGAAGGTATTTAGAATGGTTTGCGCATGTATATTGGAAGTAGGAAGCTAGATAAACAGGTGAAGAAGGAGAGTCGAGAAAAGAAAATAAAGTAGTTAACGCCCTTTGTTGCCTGCGCAGGCGTATGGGCAGCCATTTTAATTGCAACCGATGTGCAGAAACATGATCATATTTACGTAAATTGAAAACGAATCGAATGCAGTTATTTAGAAGACGGTCAATTTTGTTGAGTAGATCTGCATTCAGGTCGTAGTAACACACATCAGCATAATCGATGATAGGAAAAATCAGGGCCTGCACGAGCCGTGCCTTGGTAGTAGACGGAAGGAAGTTTCTAAGGCGGTACAAGCCTCGCAACGACCCAGTTACCTTCTGGCATACACTAGTGACCTGTGCACGCCAGCTCAATGTGTTATCAATATGTAAGCATTGTTGTCTTATACGACAAAATAAAAAAATACGTGAAACAATATATGTCTAATATTTTTTTATTATCTAACTGATGGACTGATTACATTTTTAATTTTCAGACATTGTCTATTAGGGTAGTCCCTATTCTTGATAATTCACTTACGTCACATACCCAATTACCCAATCCCTTAAACGGTGGCAGTGCACTTGTAACGCCTCTAGTGTTGCGGGTATTCATGGTTGACGCCGATTGCTTACTATCAGATGAGATGATACGTCATCTGATTAGTTATAATAATAAAGCTTTATTTAGTTCTAAATTTAACCTTGTTGGCCGAGTGGTCGCAAGTGCGACTGCCGGGCAATGGGTCTCGGGTTCGATTCCCGGGTCAAAGTATTACTGGGTTTTAAAAAAAATCTCAGTAGTAGCACGGAGTCTGGAATTGTGCCCGGTATATGGCTCACCCCCTATTACATGGGACTCATAACATAAATAGTGAAAAGTGGGTGTTACATTGTACAGTGGCATAATGTGCACCTCTGCCTACCTCTTCGGGGATAAAAGGCGTGATGTTATGTTATGTTATTTAGTTAATAATAACTTAGATTACATACGTTACTTAATAAAAATTATAGGCCCTTGGCGTTGCTTGAAACTAGTTGCCTCACATTATCAAACAATTAAATTATTATAAAAAATCTTATTCAATTCACAGATCTTCGTCGTCAAATTTTAGTATGGAGACGTGCAGCTGATTCCTTACACCACTTAAGTCCAGAACAGCTTATAGTGAAAGACAGACTAGAAAGAAAATAAAGAAGTTGACCATCAAACTGGATGAGTTTATAAGAGAAGCTAAAATTACGACATGTTCTGAAGATAATTTTGAAAACACATTAACTGAAATGAGAAAGAAGGTAAGAGATGTTCATCACATCGCATTTCAACAGCTTATAAGAGCACTACTGAGCAAGGGCGGAGAAGGTATTTTTCTTTAAAACGTTGCCCCCACACTAGGATTTTCTCCTGTGTCGTGTGTGCGTTTACAAACATACAAGTTCACATACACAATGACACCCAGACCCGGAACAACAATTTGTGGATCACATAAATAGTTGCTCCGTGCGGGAATCGAAACCCGCTACACGAAGCGTGGCAGCCAGTTGCTTAGCCACCGTACCAACCGTGCAGTCATGGAATGAGTATTAGTCACTAGGATTTCCCAAGGTGGATTGGCGATTTCAAACTTATAATTAGGAATTATAAGCCCAGGTTTCCTCTCGATGTTTTCCTTCACCGTTTGTCAGTGGTATCTAAATAATCTTAGAAAGTACATATTGGCTATGTGCAAAGCGAGTAGTGGCGGACAGATAACGACCGCAGCGCACAACACGGCAGAAATTGGAAACAAATGCGGATGATGCAAACCCAGTTTTTATTATTATATTAATTTTACAGTAAAACTATTGAATGAATTCCAGTAAAAAAATGTCAACAATACTATTTTAATCTTTGGTTTCATTTATATGTTCATTTGTAGGATTCGTTCGTAGGCATTAAATGAGTACACACGTCGTGAATATTTTATTTTTAAATATATAAATTAAATTATAAAGTTAGTACTAGTGGCTTAATTTGGACCAACAACAAGATCTAAATAGTGGTATTAATAATCAGCAAGTGCTAAGAATTGCTGGGTCCATGTAACATAGTTAAACTTGGCCACCACCTGCCAGCACATCAATTACACTGATTTGAAAATTGTCACCACAAGCACAGGAAGTTACATTTGCGCAATGTCGAAATCCAGGGATGTTGTCACTGTTCACATGAACGTCCAGGAGACTCTCTTGAAGAGGATGGCGGATCTGGAGGGGCAGATTCAGTCGGCAGGATCGGCTAAAGACTCTTTGGCCAGGATAGCCGAAGAGTTCCGCACCTTCCGTAAATTCGTCCTGGATATGCTAAAGCTGTTGCGGAGCCTGATCACTGATTGTTCCAGAAGTAATGATGACACGGAGATGCGTAACCGCCGGAAGGCTCTGATATTCCAGGGCATTCCGGAGGTAGATAGAGAGGATTGCAGCGGTCTGATTATTGAGACTATCAATAACAAGCTGGGTCTGAATCTTCCTGTGTCTGCGATTAAGAGGTGTCACAGACTTGGAACCAGTACCAAGGAGCATCATCGACCGATGCTGGTAAAATTCTCAAGTCTTGATTCTAAGGCGTCGGTCTGGAAAGCGAAGTCTCGTTTGCGTGGCACTAAAATCTCTGTCAAGGAGTTTTTGACGAAGCCCAGACAGGAGGTATTTGCAAGGGCACGCCAACATTTTGGTATGCGAGCCTGCTGGACCCAAGACGGCAATATCTTCCTTAGGGCCAGTGACGGAAGTAAGCACAGAGTCACGTGCTTGGAGCAGCTGAATCCTCTCCTAGACAAGTATCCCAAGGACAAGGAGCCAGGTACGACAAAGATAGCACCCGGGCGCAGAGCTGAGCTGGATGCGGCGAACCTAAAACAAGCAAGTAGATAGTCAGTTCCATTTGTAATCGGCTGATCACGTAATAGTTAACGTTCTCCAACATCCCATGAACTTACCGTGAATCCGGTCGAGCATCAAAATATTCCTTAAAATTTAATTTGCTTGCTTGTACTACATTGCGATGGGTGTTGGCAATTCTTACCCACTATACTGGAAACACTAACTTTCCTTTGTTCTTAATGTTTCATAGTTCACGTTATCGAAAATACCCAACAAATTGTATTTTTCTTTTCCATCATAATAAATCAATAGTCAACAGTTGTGTCAGTGTCAGTTGTCAATTGTCATTATGTCAATTGACATTACGGCTGCGTTCAGATATCTCACTTGCAAATTATTGTTGATCTATTAGCAATGATAAATAACATTTTGCAGTTCGTTTTTGTTTCCATGTTGCGTTTTGTTATTTTTGCAAATTGTTATCTTTTTCTATATTTTTGTTTTATAATCGTATTGCGTTTTGTTAGTGATGTGTAAATATTTTTCTTTCTGAATTTTGTGCTTGTGTTGTGTCTGTTGTATTTTTACTTGGTGTTAGCTGGCGGGTGGTGCAGAGTTGCATGTAATTGGTAGCGAGCTTTACGTAATTGGTTGTTATTCATATATTATATCTGTGATTTATCTATAAACTTTACAACTACATATATATTATATTTATACAAATTATTATTATATTTATTACTTATGTCTGAAAATGATTCTTTTGTGTCTGCAAGCGAGGATGGTGCGTCTGACTGCGATAGCTTCTGCTCATTGGTGGGAACTCTGGGTGATATACTCAAACGCCAGTTCGAGGGTAATAACCGCCAATCATTTAATGTATGTCACATTAACGCGCAGAGTATTCCCAGCCATTATAGTGACTTGTACGAGGCATTTAGCAACAGCGACATACATGCGGTCCTGATATCCGAGACTTGGCTCAAGCCTCATCTTTTGTCCACCACCTACCCCCTACCCGGATACATTCTTATTCGGAATGACCGAATTGATGGTAGGGGGGGCGGCGTAGCTATATATCTCCGCAGCGAATTCCCCTACAAGATTATTTCTTTATCACCACAAAATTGCACTGCGGAGTATGTATTTGTAGAGGTTTGTGTCCGAGGGGCAAAGCTCGCAATGGGCGTAATTTATTGTCCTCCCTTGGTCGATTATTTCACTGAATTCGAATCAGTAATTGAATCTTTGGGTACGGAGTATGCACATCACATAGTCATGGGTGACTTCAACACCAATCTCCTTGCCTACGATTCCTCTCGTTCCCGCAGGCTTCTGCATTTGATCGAGTCGGCAAGTCTTCACCTGCTACCTCTCCAACCTACTCACCACAACGTTGCTGGTGAGGACACCTGGCTCGATCTGATCGTCACATCCAACCCCTCCCTTGTTTTGTCTCATGGGCAGTACGAGGCCCCTGGATTTTCCCATCATGACCTAATTTTCCTCTCCTATATCCTTAAACCGCCCAAGGTTAGGCCTAGGGTTGTGTACAGGCGTTGTTTTGCGAGAATGGATGCTGAGAGTCTTCGTAAAGATGCGGCGGCCATTGATTGGAGGCTGCTGATGGAGGCCACTAGTGTCAATAACATGGTGGATATATTCAATAACACCTTGAATAGTCTGTTTGACCGTCATGCTCCATCAAAAGGGTTAAATTAAAGCGTCCACCAGCGCCTTGGATGACTGGAGTGATACAGACGGCGATGCGACGCAGGGATCGAGCGTTCCGTAGGCACAGGAGGGATCGTACTGAGGAAAATTGGGCTGCCTTCAAAACTGCAAGGAACAAGTGTAATCAGATGGTGCGCAATGCTAAACGCCGCTTTATTTTCGACCGAATATCTTCTTCTTCTTCTGCCGATATTTGGAAGTTCCTCAGAACCCTAGGTATCGGCAAATCGCAGCATTTAGACCTGCCGAGCTCGATTGGTTTGGATGATCTCAATCGCCACTTTTCCACTGTCTCTAAATTGGATTCCCAAACTAAACAAAACACCATATCTCTTATCTCTGGTCTAATGCGTTCTTCCACTGTCAGTCCTTTCTGTTTCAGGCCAGTGCAGTCAGAGGAGATCCGGAAAGTTATCCTTGCCATTAAGTCCAAGGCAGTGGGTTGTGATAATATATCACGATATATGATCATAACCATACTGGAACCCCTCCTCCCAATCATTACACATATGATTAATTTCTCCCTACATTCCAGAGTTTTCCCATCGTTGTGGCGTCAAGCCTATGTCCGCCCCCTTCCTAAAATACCTAATCCCACCCTTCCAACCCAATTTCGTCCCATATCAATCCTACCCTTTTTGTCAAAGGTCCTGGAGGCCTGTGTCCATAGGCAATTCTCAAGTTTTATGCACCGGAACTCGCTAATAAGCCCATACCAATCTGGTTTTAGGCCTGGACACAGCACCACTACCGCATTGCTCAAAGTTATCGGTGATGTGAAGGCAGGGATGGAGGACACCAAAGTCACTGTGTTGGTTTTGGTGGACTTCTCGAATGCATTCAATATGGTCGATCATGATATCCTGTTAGCGATCCTCTCCCAGGTTTCGGTATCTAATGACGCACTGGAATGGTTCTCATCCTATCTTCGCGAGCGTCAGCAGTTGGTCCAGGTTGGCGATACGTCATCGAGCTGGTGCCAATTGACTGCTGGCGTTCCTCAAGGCGGAATTCTCTCTCCTCTTCTATTCTCAACTTTTATAAATCGAGTCACTTCCGAACTTCAGTGTGCGTACCATCTGTATGCCGACGACTTGCAGTTGTATTGCCAGGCTAGAGTGGAAGATTTGCCCGATGCGATCTCAAGGTTAAATGCGGACCTGGCTGCCTTGAACGACTGGTCAACAAGTTTCGGTATAGCAGTGAATCCCAGTAAATGCCAGGCAATAATTTTAGGAAGTTCCCGTACCTTTGGTAGAATCGACAGCGCAGCACTGCCGCCGCTTCTATATGATGGTGCGATAATCTCGCTCAGCAGTGACGTGAAGGATCTGGGACTGCACATCGACAATAATTTGACGTGGCGTGTTCAGATCGCTGGTGTTTGTAAACGGGTGACGGGCACGCTTCGGTCTTTGTATCGCCTTAAAAATTTTCTTCCGTCCTCCACCAAGATAATGCTTGTCCGTTCCTTGGTCTTTCCTATCATTGACTATGCTGATGTTTGCTACTACGACCTGAATGCAGATCTCATCAATAAACTGGACCGCCTTCTGAATAACTGTATTCGATTCATCTTCAACCTGCGTAAATACGACCATGTTTCTGCATACCGATTGCAACTAAAGTGGTTGCCCATACGTCAACGCAGGGAACAACGGGCACTAACCACTTTATACTCCTTGCTTAATTCCCCCACTTCTCCAAGTTATTTAGCCTCCTACTTTCAATATGTGAGCACCAACCACAATAAGTATCTCCGTTCCACAAACAATCTCCTCCTCCAAGGTCCCTCACACCGAACCGACTTTCTCCACTCGTCATTTTTCATTCAGTCAGTCTTACTGTGGAATGCGCTGCCCACGGATATCAGGACGGCTTCCAGTCGGCTATCCTTTAAATTTAAAGTCAAAGAATATCTTCAGAACAAACTGACACAATCAAGTCTCAATTAACACCCTCCTCAGAAACTTTATATATAAATTATATGAAATATATAAACCCATTATATATTTATTTTTATATTATATATATATTTAATTATTTACATATTATATTTATGTTTCATATTAGTATGTAGTATTGGTATGTAGTTTATGTACTAGGATACCTTTATACATATGTACGTACATTTATCACCCTCGTTTTTATTTTTTTACTTCTTTTGAAACCTACTGTAACACTTCTCTGCATCACCCTATGGTTGGCTGGTAGAGAATGCCATTCGGCATTAAGTCCGCCATTGTATACAGTTGTACATAAAGTGTTAAATAAAAAAAAATAAAAAATATATGTATTTGCAAAGAAAATTATAATGTTTACATTGTTATTATTTGACAGCTTTCGCAAATATTGTAAATACTACGCGTCGCCACCGTCGCGCACATAGCCAATAGCTTGGAAAAAAAATTGGTTGCCTGTAAAGTCGGTATACGGGCGAAAGTTTTACGTAACAACGACTTTGAGTGGTGTGCCTTTCACTTTTTATGTCTGTCTCTCTCGCTCTTAGGCGGGCTAACCATGCCCGAGTGGAAGGGACGCGTGCCTCTCACTCGCTCTCATTGTGAGCGCATAACGTGAGCGGAGGGTAACGCAGTTTCTTGAAGTGTCACCCGGCAAACCAATTTATAAGACGTTGTCACGTCAAAACTCACATTGGTACTTGCCAGGCTTCGAAACTGCACTTTCGTGAATGCAGAACGAGCGTCCGAAACCTCCGAACCAACATGACGTTAGAGTTATATCAGATGTATCATTATTAGTCACATTTTTTTTTACAGTACAGAATAAGGGACAAGGTCCTACTGGTAAAATGTGCAGTCACCATTGCATTCGTCATCATCGTGTTCTTCCTGCATTCTATACCGGAGTTCAGTAAGTTATAAATGACATAACATAACATCACGCCTTTTATCCTCGAAGGGGTAGGCAGAGGTGCACATTATACCACTGTACAATGTAACACCCACTTTTCACTATTTATGTTATGAGTCCCATGTAATAGGGGGTGAGCCTATTGCCATATACCGGGCACAGTTTCAGACTCCGTGCTACTACTGAGGATTTTTTTAAAACCCAGTAATATTTTGCCCGACCCGGGAATCGAACCCGAGACCCCTTACCCGGCATTCGCAATTGCGACCACTCGGCCAACGAGGCAGTCATAAATCAGTAGATCAGTATGTTGTAAACGAAACGGTCCTGTAAAACTGCATCTGATGGTAAAAATAAAACGACGGCTTGCACTCAGGGAGTGCCGGCAGAAGTGAAAACTTAAGTATTAACGTTGTGCGTTTTGGATATCTTAGAATGGTTATAGAATAATTTTGCACGAAATGCTTTAATTATCAGAATAAAAGTACTATCTTTTATGTGGTATCTATGTGGTAGACTACAATATTTGTTAAGATGGCGATCATTTGACAGAGTTCATTATTGACAGAGGCCAAATTCATTATTTAAAAATTCAATGAAACATATAAACCTACACGAACACTAATAAACACACATGAACATTTGCGCAAGCGCCCTGCCCTGCCTAAATGAAACAGCATACGTTTCCGCCGCACCTTAGAAAGAGAGGGGGATACTCCCTGTCCTACGCAATGCCAGCTGTCTACTCTCCATTCGTCTTTTTTTATGGTATAAGCCGGTAAACGAGCAGCCGGATCACATGATGGTAAGCAATCGGCGTCGCCCATGGACACCTGGAACACCAGAGGCGTTACAAGTGCGTTACCGGTAGTTTGAGGATGGTTGGAGATTGGGGAAGGGGAGGGTAAATGGGCCTCCGGTAACCCATCCATGTTTGCTGACGCTAGCGTAGATGACTTTTACGCAATCGTGCGTAAAAAAGTAGCGTCATTAGTACAATATAGATGATACTGTTCTGCTCAGTAGGTTCACTGAACTCCATGTGTTGGGGTACGGACGGGACTGGGGAGCCTATAGAGTACACACCCCCCCATACTTAGTGTTGAGCGTCAAATTTTTGGGTATTAAAATTAGTTATAAGATTTGTTGTAACTACTAACAAAATTGTCTCTGTGGTCAAAACTCTGTGGTCTGAAATAAATGATTTTATTATTATTATTTATTATAAAATATCAACCCTCCTTCCCATCCCCAATTCCCAAAATGCTGGTAACGCGATTGTGTCAACTCTGATGTTGCGGGCTACCGATTGCTTACCATCAAGTGATCCATCTGCTTGTTTGTGGCCATATAATAAAAATGTTGCTCGATGTGTATGCTTTTTGGTTTCGTCAAAAGCTTTTGATATTGTCAACCTTATTGTATTTAATCTATTTATTTATTTAAAATGGTATGTATTTATTTAAAATTGAATTTATATACAAGTATACAATATTCTAGTTGTGGAACAAAATGGATATCGCACTGGTTATAAACCTATTCTTATCGATCTTATGTCTCCTGTATCTTGCATCTCACTCGCACCTGTGGGCACAAGACGGCCGCGTGGTTTTCTAATTTGTATCTTTCCTTCTTTTGCAATATAATATATTTGGTATATATTTATTTTTATATTATTGGTTCTAAATTCAAATATACCTCTATATAAATATGTCATATTTATCATTATCAGTATGATTGGTCGTAAGTGTTTAACGGTGACAGAGCTGAGGTCGAAGGGATGGATTTTAATGAATTAATTACCACTTGTGGATTATTCATTGGTCACCACTGTCAATTTTGTTCATTGAAGTGTTGTTATTAATAATTATGCCCTTAATATTTAGTTGTTTGCGAAAAGAGTTCCTCAAGGCGCATAATTGGTCCTACCCAGTTATTGTGTATAAGCCATGTAACTAGTTTGGGAAAATAATACGTTTCATCTTTTTGTTACTTATGTATATGTACGAGTATTATTGGGTATTTTTGATTTTCGAATATTCTCAATAATGAGCTTATGTATGTATCTACATGTATGTATATGTATGTAGGGTTGTTCTGAATTACAAAAAGTTTGAGTGAGGCGTGTTTTAAGTATAAATACTTTTTGTTTTACAAAATGTCTATTTTATTTATTTACATAATTAGGTAGTAACATTTACAATTAGTCAATCATTATTTAACATAATGTTTTAATTAGAAATACCTTATTATTATGGGTTTTCTTACACTTATCTTATTTACAATATTTATCAAAGTTTGAAACGACTACCAAATGTTAAAATGGATAGACCCTTAGATTGTGGTTTAATCTTAATTGCCTAACATCATTAAGAAGTGTTGTGCTTTTCGCACGTATTTCTCTAATATACGCCAGAAGTTCTTGATTTAATACCTCCGGAGTCTCTTCACGATCTTTTCCAAGTCCTTCACGATCACAGCTGCGAGGAGGACTATCATAAGAGTGTTCTTTAGCTTGACTTCTGTTTCCATTTACGTTTTCTCCAGTAGTATTGTCCATTGCTGTTGCTGCTCCTGATTTAGGACCAGTTCGAATAGCAGGAATGACATTTCGATGATTCAATTGACCATAATCAAGGAAAATGATGTTATTGTGTTTCCATTCGCTGCTCACATCGCTCTCAGAGTATCTCGTGGGTTTAGTAGTGTCAGCTCGCAATATGCTCCTCATGCGGCCTCGTCTAAATCTATCACCGGCTCGTCTTCCAGGACTGTCACCAAGTCTTCCAGACGTAACAAATTGTCGTTCAGCATCGCCATCACTGGGAGTATCTTCGATAAAGTTTGTGATACCATCTAAACCCATTTCTGTTTCGTCGTACATCTTGCTATTTAAATGTCACTGGTAGAAATGATGTCTCTAGTATGAAAACGAGTCAAGCACTAACGAGATGTCTCACTAGATTCTCTTTTATATAGCAAAATGTACTCAATTAGCTAATGATGGACAATTAATGAATATGTTAACATTAGGTAATGTTCATATAATTGTCATAATGGGACTCGTTAATTAATGCGACTAATTATAGATGATATGTGATTAGTGTAAATAGAGCGATTTATTAATGAATCTGATTACTATACAATATTTTTCACCAAAACTATCGTTACGTATTTGTGTTGATAAACTATAATTATCACTTACAAAGAAAATGTAAATATTTTAATACTTCATGTTTCATTGTAAGCGTGGGACAAAATACCAAAGTCTTATCAGTAGGTCCTACTGTTAAGGTTTTCAGATAACATCAAAAATATTACCACTTCAGTTCCTAGTACTTAAACAATGGAGTGCTTTGTTAGCGTGGGACAATATACCAAAGCCCTAATAGGTAGTTCGCGTAAAACTAACCGACCAATCAGCGCTCGAGTTGGAAGTTTGGTAACGCCCAGAAAATGTTTCGGATAAAGAGCAAGTTTTTTTTTAATTGACATTACCTATAACTTAACTTAAATAATCTTAAATAAACTATATTATACTTACCTACCTACCTATATTGTCCTTAATATTCTTTGTTGCACACATAATAAAAAAAAACCTAAGTTTTTTTACGGTATTTTCGTTCAATTCATAATGCAAAAATGAACATGTCTTTTTTATACCTAAATGGGTCGACGTTTGGCCACCATCTCGCAGGTGATAAGCGATGATGTGGCCGACGATGGAGCACGCCGACCTATGAGCAACCTGTTCAATCGGGACTTGAAGACACCCAAGTCATATATGACGGGAAACACAGCCTCTGGCAAGGAATTCCATTCCTTAGCGGTTCGCATGAGGAAGCTTGACGCGAAACGCTTCGTGCGAATGGGTGGAATGTCCACCATATAAGGGTGGACTAGGGGGAATAAGTTTGTGCAATTCCCACGCACACTCACCGAAATGTATCCGATAGAAGACTGAAAGGCTTGCGACTTTGCGCCTGTGTTCGATATGTCTCATATTCCTTAACTTTTTACAATAAACTATTCAATCCCACGACTCCTCTTTACCTAAAAGAGCGTTTTAATTACCTTAGCAACACACTTACGAAGCTATATTGATATCATTGGAAAGTCTAAAATCACAAAAGTAAATCATAAATGTTATTATTTTCCTATGATTACATTTTCTTACCAACCCAACCCACATTGAGCAAGCGCGATGATTAATGCTCAAACCTTCTCCGTGTGAGAAGAGGTCTTTGGTCAGCAGGGGCTACTTATGAAATGTTGATGATGATGATGATGATACATACTCTTATAGTAAAATATTAGAAAGTAGTCAAGAAATAAAAATTGAAAATAACTGAAATATAAAAAAAATAGTTTCGAAAACTTAATAATAGTTAGTTGGCCCCCAGGTAAGTTGGTTACGTTTTTGACCACATCTGTTAAATAGAAACTGGCATATAAACTAATGTTTATCGACGAATCATATTTTGGCCCTGAAAAGGGCCTTTTGTTTTCTTTCTATTCAATTCCTCCTTCACTGTCAAAACGGATAGATCCGTAGATCATATCTAAACTGCTTAACATCATGAAGCAGCGTTTTGCTCTTCGCACGCACTTCTCTGATGTAAGCCAGTAGGTCTTCGTTTGATCGTTCAAGGCTCTCTCTACGATCGACTTCAACTCCTCCATGATCACAGCTATGACCAGAACTACCACAAGATTCATGGTTAGCTTGACTTGTAGTTGTATTTTCTTCACTAATTTTGTCCATAGCTGGCTCCAAAGTAAAATCTTCTCTTATTTCCTTTATCGTCGGCTTAGTGGGACTGCTAATGGTCGAAGAATTGGCACTGTCTTGGACCAAATGACTAAAGTCCTTGATCAGGCCAGTTACACCACAATAACGTCTTGGACGCAACATGCTTCTGACGCAGCTACGTCTGAAACGGTCACCGGCGCGTGTTCCAAGACCGCTAGCAGGTTACCAGTTGCGACGAATTTTCTTC